ACTCAACTCTAAATTTAATTCATTTTACCCCGCTTTCTCAAATCTGTACATGAGTATCGTATGAGTATGTATCTATATGTAATGTGTTTATAACTTGTATTTATATATGATTTTATTGATGTTATCAATTTATGAGTGAAAAAATGACTGGAAACTTAAAACCTGAAGTCTGAAAAAACAGTGAAATTCTACATTACATTATTTGCTATACTACTGCCATCGATCAATGTCTACAGAATACAGAATTCAAAGATGGCTACCATGACATTATTGTCCATGTTCAATTAATTGCACTTAATCGAGATGTCCATTTATCACTTAACGTAACACGCAAAGTGGTTTACCCGAAGCATTTTACCAGACTATAAGAGGCGGATAATTTCCCGCTCATCTCACCTGACGTGACTTTCATAATCGCTAAATCAGTTCGATCCTAATTATTATACGCGGCAAAAGGACGAAACTAGAATTGTTGTCTAGACATATTGCTTGTGAGAGTCAAAGGTTTCATTGGAAAATATGTAACTATAAATAATATATAGGCTATATATCTTATATATGAGTTCTTACCGCTTTTCTCATTATATTTTCAGTATATACATTCCTACAGGGAAAAAAAGGATTTAACAAGTTAAGGATGTTTTTGACACAACTTTGAAGAAGAAAACAAGATTTTGGACCGCAGTCTATTTTCATGCAAGCCTTGTCCAATATAAAACAAGAACGATGAGATAGAGAGAGAAAAAGAAGAAGAAAAAAAACATTCGGAACACATTTCACAAAATTTCCTGAAACGTGAAGAAGTGAGTCTCCATCACAAGCGTTATTATTAGCTCATTTCTTCATTCTATTTTTTTAATGTTCAAAGGGTTGTGAGTTACAAATATATATTTTACATTCACAGATAGTCAGAGTTGAATATCAAGTAGCCGAAATTACGTTGCGAGGACATGGATGAGCCAGAATTGGTCTTGTGGGATAATTCCCCTTTGTCTAGCTGCCACTGTCTCTCTCTCTCCACCCAATGGGTAAATGGGGGCCTGATATATGCTTGAGCGCTAGTTACTTTGGCAGCTCGGCTATAACCAGAGTAATATGTGTAAAGCGCCATGAGCGTCAGAACCTGACGGATACCGGCGCTATTACACATAAATATCCATATTATTATTAATTTTGATGATTTACATGAAAGATCATGAGACTTATTCTGTTCACACAAAAATAATGAATTATTAGCCCGAACAATAGAAACTTTTTACTTATTCTTTTAAACAAAAGAAGGAAAAAAAAAAACCTGACACATTATGATATCACAAACCCCATTTTGTCTTATTAAAAATAATTTCCAAACCTAGACCATGATTATAAAATGCCATTGTTCATTAAATCGTCAAAATGATGGACAATCCATTTTGTTTGTCATTAGGAAACCAACTCAATAATCACTGATAGGTTGAAGTATGACTGAAGTAGTACTGCAAACGGGATGACGGGGGAGTAATCAAAACGAGGAGTATAAAATTGACAATTCGACAATAATTGCATCTAGTCTAAAATGTTATGTTTGATCCAATTTGAGTTTGAAATGTTCCTTGCGATGATTGACGTTTTGATGAAATAAACGGATATTGCCTTTTGTCATTGATTGCATATCATGATGAATTATACTTTATATATTCTAAAACCTGTCAAGTCGCTTTTTATTCATTTAAAACAAAATGTCATATCTATGGTTTATTTTCACACCTCTCCGATTTTCACGCCTTTCAGCTTTATAAATCAAAACCAATGCAAAACTTAACATTGCGGGGGGGGGGGGGCTTTGTTATAGACGTGGAGCCAGGTTTTGAATCAAAAATTAAAACCTTGATATTGAATGTCACCATGCCATATTATATACCTCTCTTTAGTATGTTGAATAGATCTAGTCATCTGATTGGTCGAATTGGAGTCGTGATTTTAGCTATGCCCGCCTCGCGGTCAATAGTTCATGACAAAGATGCCCGCTGCCCAGTGTAACGGGCCGCATAAATAAATTTTGCTGAGATCCTAATTGGTTTACGTGTAAAAAGTTTCTGTGTGTGAGCGTGGAGACCATACTCGTATAGTGTGTGTGCGTTTTGGTCGCTAAGTGTGTGTGATTCCCGTATGGTAGTAACATTCAGGCAACTTTCCAGTGAAGATTAATAGACAGTGTCACGGATTTTCTGTAATATTGTAACCAATCTTTACACAAGAAAAGGATAAGGTAACAATATAAAAGATATAAAAGATAATGGACTGCTTTAATATTTATTTATTTATTTATTAAAACATCTAAACAGGATAACATTGATCAGCTCGCAGGCTGTTTTACATAATGGTCTTGCATAAAGAAGGAAAATACAAATTCAAGAACTGACAATAAGAGTAGTTACTAACAAAATAGCAGTTTTATACAATTGGTAAAAAACGAAACAACACAGATAGGAAAAATAGAATGAGGGAAAAACGAAAAGAGAGGGAAAAGATATGCATAAGTATATGTAATTTTCTAAATAATAGCAATCATTTTAGTTAGTTATTGCATACGATGCTGTAGTAAGGAGAAACGGCAGTAAACACATTTTATCGATTAAAGGAAGATTTTTTATATTGGTATTTAAAACTGTCACTGAATTGGAATTTTTGATATTATTGGGAAGCTTTTTCCAATTAACCGCTCCAGCATACTTAAAAGATTGTTTGAATTAGGTCACGTTGGGTTTGGGCAATACTATATTTAAAGAGTCTGCATTTCTTTTATTAAGGCCATGGTAGTCGAAAAACATTTCTATTTCGTTTCGGGCAATGCCCCTTATACATTTGAACATAAGCATAGCCAGAAAATAATCACGGCGGTGGTCAACAGTTTGCCAGAAAATTTGTTTTATCAATGCGTTGCCGCTTGCAATTTCATAGTCAGAGATATACCAGTTACATATCTAGCAGCTCTTTTCTGCAATCTCTAAAAGGGGCGGCTTGTAGCTGGCTGGGCAGTTTCCCCATACAGAGATTGCATAGTCTATACAGGGTTGGATTATACACTTATAAAGGGTGTTCAATAGTTCTGAGTTTAGGAATTTACTCAGCTTTCCTATAGAGAATAAATTGTATAAGCAATAGATTTACATAAATCTCTTAAATATACATTCCACTTCAAGTTTTCGTCAATCACTATACTTAAGTATTTTATAGATTTTACCTGTTCGATCAGTTCATCTTTTATGAATATATTCAATATATCAGAGGATCTTAATTTTATTAGTATTGTTTTGGTTTTACTTGTGTTAATGCGTAATCGATTTTGATTATACCAATTATTTAGAGCGTTAATATCTTTTTGTAATTTCTTTGTGACATCATCTAACTTACTATCTGCAACAAAGACTACAACATCATCAGCAAATATGGTGTAGACGCCTTCAGTTATGCATTCAGATATATCGTTTATGAATATTAGGAACAAAATGGGGGCCAGGACACTGCCCTGTGGTAACCCGACAGAAAGCTCTCTTATATCAGATAGTTTTCTTTTGGAGTATGCCACTTGCTTCCTATTACTTAAATAGTTTTTGAACCATAATAGCATATTTTCAGCAATTCCATATTTTTCAAGTTTGAATAAAAGAAGCTCGTGGTCACACAGTCAAAACATTTACAGATATCTAAGAAGCACGCGCCAATCATTCCTTTCATATTTAAGGCTTCGTATAAGCCGTCTAAAACACGGTGTAAGCCTGTTATAGTTGAATGGTTTGGAAAAAAGGCGTATTGATCGGCATTTATCATGTTTTTGGAGGTAGGAAAGTAACTGTAATTGTACTTTCTTTTCTATAATTTTGGGAATATGACTAGCAACAGAAATTGGTCGATAATTTTGTTTCTTCATTTTTGAGCCTTTTCCTTTGAAAATCGCTATGGTACATGCAATCTTCCAGTCACCAGGTACTCTTCCCGTATCATGACTTACATTAAAAATATCACACAGGGATTAAGCGATATACGGGGCAGCTAATTTGAGTAATTTAGTGTCAAAGTCTAAGACATCTAAGTTGCTATTTGAAGCCAAGTTAGTTAATTGGTTTAAAATCTTGGAACTATCAATTGGTTGGAAATAAAATTCATAAATACAATGTGGATGATGCCATTTCGGTTTTTCTTTAACAAATGATTTAGAGATATTGTTACCTGTATTAATAAAAAAATCGTTCATTTCATTACATTCAATATTACAGCTCAGGTCCTTAGACTTTGTCACTCCAGAAATCTTATTCAATTCTGCCCATAATTTCTTCGAATTATTCTTATGTTTATTATGTACATCCCGGAAGTACTCCTGTCTTCGTTTTCGTATGAGACAGATAGTATGTTTTTTTAATAGTTGTTTGTACTTTTTTTAAAATCATATTCAGTACGAGTTCCTAGTTCAGGAGACGACACGAACTTTCTTTAAAAAAAAATCTCTGGTGTACATGAGTTTGAATCCAAGGACAAATTCTGTCTTTTACCCTAGTTGTTTTGATAGGTGCATGATCGTTACTTATAATATTCGAGGCATGGCTTTTTCTATACTGGCTCTCGGGGACACCGCGGCGCGCCTCGGGGTCATAGCAGGATGTAACGTTCCCTTGAGCCTATATAAACAGCTATGCCTCTCATAGCAGTCAATATATCTATAATACAATGTTTCATCACTTGCAGAACCAGTTAGTTTTGAAAATATTGTGTTCACGCAGTCAAGCGTGAATGTGTAAATCAATCATGCAAATGGAATACGGCAAAACCTTAAACATGGGTTGCGTTTTGAATGGAAGTCCCTATGATGGGTACCATTCTTTGCCAAAATGACCTTTAAAAAATAGGTATGGGTTAGACGCTTCGGCCGCACACCCCCGACCAAACCGAATCTGAGTAGGCCCCCCCCCCCCCTCCCCGGGTTTTGCTCCAGCCATCTCCGAAATAATGCAATTTATGTGAAATGTTCCATATTATTTGTCATTTGGTAATGATGATTGTATAATCTCTCATATCCTTAAATATCTATTTCTGATCATCATCGCTGTGCTATTATTGACCTGTGTGTGTGTCCGAGTGTGTGTATGTTCGTGTGGTTGTATTTGCGTATACCGTGTAGAAGTGTGTTTAGATCTTTTTTTCTTATGGTAGATTGCTTGAACTAAGATCTACTTACCAAAATAAGATACCCTGTTGTAAATTATTTGTTTTATCATGACTTTCTTTTTTTTGTGTAGGAATGGATGGAATTTCTTAGAAAGAGCATAAAACTGGAAGAATGGCCACAAGTCTTGGAGCAGACCACGATGTTCCTGGTAATCCTGGGTAGATGGATGCTACCGAAGGGAAATCTCACCCGGGAACAACTCTCCCAGCTCCTCCTTGTCTACCTTGGTATGGCAGCGGACATTCTAGAGTTCTCCAGCGAAAGTCTGGCCCAGCCTGTGGTCGCTTGTGATCTGGTCAAGATTGGCATCGTCACCGGTATCTGGGGCATGAGCCTCTGTCAGTTCACGCTTGTACTGACATCTGTGGCAGGTCCAAAGATCCGCAATTTCAAAAATAAGAAGAGAAAGAGAGGCCAGGATGTTGCGGAAGGTAAGACAGAGGACCCCTTGGTTGATTTCGTTGAGCAAGATATCAACGAGAAGCGGCCCTCTATCTGTGGGTCGGAGATTTGGTCTCTCCTCCTAGTCCTTTTCATGCAAGATTGCCCCTTTCTGGCAATGCGATTGTATTTAATTATACAAATCAAGGTCGTTGATCGCGCTATGCTTTTCTTTGCGGGAAAGAACTTACTGGTGTTTATGCTGGTCACATACCGCATCATTGTGTTATGCGGGGAACACAATGGAAAGACCAAGGTTAGGCCCGTACCACTTGTAGGCTTTCCGCAGCAGCCTCAGGTTGACGCGATGATCGTCAGGAAACAAAGGTCAAGCTGGTCGCTTGATCCTTTGCTTTCTAGAGTAACCGACTTCACAAATCGCCTGAGGAATCACGTCCAAGTCTTGGACCAAGAGATAGGGAGAAGACGTGGCGTGCATGTCCCCTCCGGATCCGACCAACCAACTACCAAGCCGATGACGCCATTCCTTGTCGCCATGGACGGCCACTCTGTAGAGGTCACTGAAATTGATAACATAGATTCAATCACTCTGGACACTACTGGAACGGAAATCATCGACACGGCACGATCCCTACCTTCAACCGTTGACGACGGGACGACTAAGGCTGGTGAAACCGACCCCGACGGCGTCGACGACACAAGCTCCCCCATCTTGAACCTTCACCATGATGATCAACCTGTTCCATCCATGGTCGAGGTCGGAAATGACTTCGAAGAGATAATAAGTCTCAGTGATGACAGCGTAAACGAGAATTTGCAGGCCGTGGGGAATGAATTGACTTTAGGACTTGGTAATGATGATCAGATGAAACCTGCCGATTTGAACGATGAAAGCACCGAACTGCCATTAGACAGTAGCCTTAACGGTGAATTTAAAAACACCTAAAAAAGGGGATGATAATCATAATAATACATTGATATCAAACGATATATATATATATATATATTCAAAATCATTACACTAAAACTAATTACTGATATACTTACCATGTATTTTCCTTTGTCTTTCATGAATAATTTTGACGTTAAAGAAATTATCGTTTTAAGTGATTGTGGGTTGCTGAGTTGCAAAATGAGAACATTGTATAAATATAAAATTGTATGGCAATGAGCAAGAACATTCCTGTCTGTAATATGTCTAATAATGCTACTTATTACGTACATACAATTTCAAAAATTCATTTCGACTCATACTATGTATTTCCCTTTGTCTTTCATTAACAAATATGACACGCTTGAATAAATTATCATATTTACAATAAACGATCGTGTGAAGCTGATAAGCAAATTTAGAATAGTGTATACAAAGACAGAATTTTATTGCAATAGGAAAGAATATATCTGCCTGATTAGGCATCGTACAAAATGTACATGTATATATTTGTAGTTGTAGTTGATATTCCGCGTAGTGCACAGGAAATACTAAGGTTGCGAACTACAAAAAAAAAATAAAATACGCAGGTGTATAATTATAATATAACGTTGATAATAATTGTCTCGGTTTTCCAAATGGAAAAGAGCAGCACAAACAAAGTTTAATGGTGTGGAATTAATTCGCGGTTAACTTCAAACACACTCAAATTATTTACGAAGCTGAGTAGTGTATAGAACGCGAGTACGGTTATTTAGTCACAAGCTGCCACTTAATGTCTACCAATCGAATAATAACCATGGTAACTTTTAATACAAAACAAATGAAAATAAATGTTTTTTGTAATAACAGATTAATGCACTGAAATAATATTATACGTAGTAACAGTTATATAGCACAAATTCTTATTCATAGCTCCTATAAATCCGCAGACCTATATAGCGTCTTATTCACGGCGACTGAAAATGGAATCACAGTATCGCTGAAAAAAAATTGATAAATGAATTTAAGCTGGATTCTCATAAATAAAGCAGCAACGCAGCACATATGTTTCTTGATTTTCATTCGTATGAAGTAAATAACCAATTTAAAACTTGTTTTTATCCACAAAAGTACGTAGAGTATTAAGTGCAGTTAACCTATACACGTTTTAAACAATACAGTGTCATGAACGTCGGACAAATCGCTTTTCTTTCATTATACTTGAGTAAAAAATAACAGTTTATGACAAATCATTGGCAAATCTTATATGGCCCAGGTATAAATAGGCCTCTATACCCGAGGTGAAATTAATGTCACTCTTAAAATAGTGAGTGAAAGTGCTCGACATGATGAATGTTGCCATAGTTACGAAGCCACTTAAAAGTGTATACATGCACTGCACTTCATCACGCTCGGGTTAATCAGACGTTACCACTCACGATAATTTACCAACGATATATTTGTTAAAATTTTTGGCAATCACGAAATGAAGAACCCTGTTTCCAATGTACAATGCACATGGAATGATGTGGGGAGGGGAGGGGGGGGGGGGGGATGGTGAAGAGGGAACGCCAATGATGAAAAGCCAAACTTGACAGGAGCGTGACATAATATTATTATCATATATATATTTGTTAAACTAAAATGTACCTAATTATATTTAACAGGGCCTCATGAAAGACCACCATTATTGGTGATAATGAGTCACCCTGTCTAAATATCAGAAATAAATAAATAAATAATTATTATATTCGTTTTATAACCACACTATGCTTTATTGGAAATTTGTAGCATTATCTATAATGCGTTTTACTTTTTTTTTAAATGCACGCAGAATCAAAATGTCACGAGACTTCGGTAATAAACTACGTTATATCATTAACCTATTGTATATAATACTAGGCTTATCCCAGGGAGGTGATAGAGAAGGAGGGGAATCAAGCCGCTCTCCTTTGACCTCATGCTCCAAGCCGCCGAAAAATTACGCGCTAATCTGCAACTGTTGACTATAGGTGGTGAGATAAAAGAGCGCATGAAATATCAGGATTTAGAATGCCTACATCAGAAAATGGTATCTCAGAAAATGTTTGCTGTCTTTTTCAAAGATTTCTCATCAATTGTTGAATGTGTAATGAGTTGAACAAGCGAACACACAATTTTGCAATTACATACTTTTTTCCAACTGCACAAAAAGCACGCATTAGCAGACTTAAAGTTATCGAAGATTGTCAATCATGAATTAAATGACGAGCATTAAAACATGCGAAAAAAATCGGATTATCCTAAAACATTGATTTTTTTTGTCAGGATCTAATTTTTTTTTAACCAACTCTGGCACACAAATTATAGGAACGGCGGAGTACTAAATTTGAGAAATTGTTTGATGCACTATATTCCCAATAAAATCCCCATATACAGTTTATGATTTACACCGATCTTTTGCCGGTAAACTAATAAATGTGAAACTGGTGCCTGGCCTCCGAAATTCCCCGCAGTGGAAGAGTAGCTCGGAGCATGAAACTTCAAAGCCAAGTGGAGTGTTACGCATCCCATGTTACGCTTTAGAACTTACGCATGCGTTTGAATAAAGCACAAGAGTTTCCACTCCTTCTCTATCACCTCCCTGGCTTATCCGTATGAAACCCACCTTGCATTTACTAGTGATGTTATGTCAATAAATCCTCTCGCAAATTTTCGGGTTATCAAGAGCAAATTTCTTTAGGAATTAAGCATAAAATCAGAATACATATTCTAATTATAGCCTACGTCTTGATATTAACCGTCTTAGTGTATTTTTTTTGTTACACTCTGTTCTAATTAGTCGGCGTTATGTTGAATCGACAAATCCGTACAACTATTACTATTAGGCCTAAACAAAAAGATGTTGTATTGCCCTTTAGGTGCCAAAAAATGGGTCGGTCGGTCGGAAATTTTTTTTATTGTTGTTATCTTCTTCTTTTTCCCCCTCCCATTTGGGGTATAAACTTCTCAGTTTTTAATGCTTCAATATTTTTTTTCCTCTAAAAAACGGTTAAAAAAAAGAAGACTTTTTTTAAAAAGCCGACAGTAGATTTGGGGGTCGGTCGCAAAGGGCGATACAACATTTTTTTAAAGGCCTTATGCCGGATGCGTCGGTTCATAATAACGCCGACGAATTATTTTCTTTACTTCGTACCTTCAATTTTGATGTTAAGGACTTGTGCTTTTTCAAGCTTTCAACTGTGTTTTATTGTAAACATAAACTGATTAGTCTCCGACCTACCGTCTTGTAGTGCTACATGTGTATATTTTCAACTGCAATGAAATAAAAAGCTCTGAAAAAACGGTTTAACTTGTCTATCATTTTCAAATCGTGGTAAACGCTTGTGCTTATTCAAGTTTTTCAACTGAACTTATTGTTAACATGAACTGATTTGTCTCCGGAATACCGTCTCGTACTAGAGGTGTATATTTTCAACTGCTAATTGCCCAGCAAATTGTAAAATGTGACTTTCATATCTACCGCAGATTCTGTGTGTATCTTAAAAAGTAGACTCCATAAAAACTCTAAAGAAAGAAAAAGATTCCTTTATGGTGTTTAACAATTTGCACAATATACGGGTTTGTACAGGCGCGTACGCAGGAAGGGGAGTTTTGGGGGAAGAACCCCCACCTTTAACTTTTTTAATGTGTGTGTTTTTGATGACCCCCCCCCCTTTGGTTTTTTTTTTTTTAATGAAAAAAATAAAAAATAATAATACAAAAATTGTGGTAATGGGTGACCCCCCCCCCCCGCTTATTCAGCGACCGACTGAGTCGTTGCGAATTTTTTGGCGTGAACATCAAATTTTAAACCTCCCCCCCCCCCCCCCGCGAAAAAATCCTGCGTACGTGCCTGGGTTTGCATCCTGAGGAAGGTTTAATACGGGACGCATGAAAATGGTTGTTATCCGACCAGGTATATAATTATATGGGACGCCGGGTCACCATTTCACAATTTCATGCATAGTTAATGGACGTGTCCCTGACGCGAGTTTGCTGGCTGTTAATGTATTCTGTATTTTCCGAAACCCGAGGCCAAGGACGCGCCTCACACGGATGTTAAAATTAAGTTGCATACCAATCAGTTCATTTCAGTCAAGCTATAACTTTGACCCCCCCCCCCCCACAAATTCCATCTGTCCACATATCCTGCCATCCTTAGAGCAGTTGTCTCGTAATCTGGTGACCCGGGCTCGAAACCAAGTCGATGCGCTAGTGCCCTTTGGTAAAGCATTAATCCTCATCACAAGGTCCCTCGGACCTAAAGCCCTCGGCCGTCTGGTTGCTTACTAACAAGCATTTATGCTTTCTTAGCAGTCAGGTAAAATAACCATCACCACACACATTATAATCCCCATGTACCTAACGATTTAGAAGACCCTTGATCCATGACAGTAAGGTCCTCTGTATCAGAAATATCTCAAGAAATGTTCATGCGACTGAAAATATTGTGTTCCGAGGACTTTTGTTTACTTCGCCCGTGTTTCTTTAAAAAAAAAAAGGATTGGGGGTAATATCAACATGAAATTCCCTTTTTTCGGGGGGGGGGGTAGCTACCTTTACAATAAGTTTGAAGAAAAAAAGGTCCTTAAATTTGCTGACAAAGTGACAGCTATAGATTTGCGGCAACGAATTTGAAAGGAGGGGAGGAGGGGTGTTCACATCTCCTTGTATACTCTTCTTAAATATCGAGGGAAAGGGAGAAAATGAACCATCCAGTCTAAAATAGAGAAAGAAGAATACAATATTGTTTTTGGCAGAAATAAAGTACTTGACTGATCATGTGAAAATCTTATCACAACAACGAAATCTTTTGAAAAGTGCCACAATTTGCGGCCGAGTTCAAGGTGAAACAGCTAATAGTGAAGGAAGTTGGAACTTGGTCATGTGATATATGATCGCTTAGGTCATTAATCATATTTGATGATCAAGACTGCGTCAAGAAATGATGAAGTTGCGTTGTAGCTCAAGGTTTATAGGCTAACCTTATGTAGGCATTAGCATTTGAGAAATGAAAGTAAACTTTGACTTTACAGTTGAACTATGAGAAACAGGATTAAGAATAGAATCAATTAGTTACTTAACACAATTTGCAAACACTTTGAAAACATTCATTAATCAAAAATGGTTAAAAAATCCCCTGTAAAATTCCCTCTTCTTGAATTTTATAAGGTCCCTTTTAATGGCTGTAGTGCTAAAACCTCAGATTTTTCTTTCAAAAACCTTTCCCCATCCATCACAGGGTACGTAATGTCACAGTTCTTTATATTGAATCATCCTGAAGAGCAATATATACCCCTCTTCAATGCAACTTGGCAACATCGTGTTCTGACGTTCAATCGAAGATATGAATCACAGGTTTATGGCCACATCATGACGTATCTCATGTCTCTAGCTCTGTTACCAAGGGCGGGAGTAATTTCAGAAAACCTTTTATTTATTTTGGAAGGTAATAAAGACTGTAAAAATAGAAGCTTCAAGACCATATATAAGAAGCCAGGTTGACAAGATATCTCCTTGTATATTCTTCTTAAATATCAAGAGAAGAGAGAGAGAGAGAGAGAGAGAGAGAGAGAGAGAGAGAGAGAATGAATCATCCAGTCTACAAATAGACAAAGAAGAATACAATATTTTGTGTACATATGTGTATAAATAAAACATATTTATGTCTTCTTTCCGATAAAAAAACAAAAAAAAAATCCATATTTCTTACACCCAATTGCTCAAACAAATAACAAATACCAGCTGGAACATTGTTTTTACTATATATAAAATAATCTTTATTTCTATATCCCACTGGATATCATAACGTCGATAGTATGTGATTTGCTCTTATAAATCGGATCTTACCCGAAAACATGAGATGCATGGTTAAAAAACATACCATCATGAAGTATAGCAAGCACTTACAATATACAATAGATTTATTACGATCTAACATTTAAGCATATACAAATATTGACTGATTCAAATTTTCTTAACAAGCATGGTCATTTTCTGTCTTGAAAAATCTATTTCCACTTTTTTTTCACTTTCGATTGTTCTGTTATTGCGATGTATTTGCCTTAAAATTATGCTACTCTAGGAAAATACAACTCACAATATTTACTCTTACTTTTTGGAGTTTCTTTTAATTCTTTGATCATATAGGTCATGCATAAGTGTAATATTATACAACTCACTCCTAGATCCTAATTAAATGATTGGTCAACCGTTTGGGGTATATAAATAACAGCTATAATGACACAAAACAATCTTTAAATTAATAATGTTTCATCAAATCACAAGGATCTAGCAGTTTCATTTGATGAAACATATGATTTTTTTCCTTTTATTTACTCATTACGAGAGCTATCCCCTCTTGTTGTGGTTGTTTATGCACAAATCTTACAAAGCCATCAGACTGAGTACGATAGAAGCAAACAGCCTCAACTTGAGTGCGAATACATCGTAAATTGTACTCATTCATATGAATCATTTGTATACTATATATATCATTGCCAATGTTATCTTTTTTATGACTGATTGAAAGAAACAAATAACAGATTGAAATTCAGTAACTCAAGTTTCTCACATGGATGACCACAATTTGACATTGGAGTATTTTGATAAAAAAACAAATTCCCTGTCTTTTATAAATAGGACATGAAAATTTCTTTCTCTTCAACATTTCTGACCTTTTTTGAACAAACACTTGTTAAATTACCCAGCAAAAATATAATCCAACCTAAGAGTTTAAAGTGCAGCGCTATTCAAACAGTTTAAGGACAATTAATAGAAACAATTCACTAATGAAAAATATTAATTAATTAGTAATAGAATAATATTGCAGTCACATTCTTGTATATTCAAAACTTGTCCTAAGACACATTTATTCAAAATTGGTTTGATGATCAACTTACTCTGTTCACATTGATGTATATTCCATATGTGTTGTAATTTGTTTATCATTCGATTTTGTTTGTTATACTAATAGTGCTTAGAGACTTCGGTGGTAAGCACTTTATAAGCACTGTTTTTATTACTATTATTATTATTATTATTATGTGTGATTGCAATAGGTCAACGTGGGTGGGGCGTCAGTTTCCATGTGCAGAAGGTCATAATCCGCCGACACCAGACTTGATGGAAAAACCATTAACCCTTACTGTACTGGGGGGGGGGGGGGCCTGGGAGGCCCCCTCCCTCAACATTTTCGGAGATCGCGCCGCAACCGCTTGGAATTTTGAATTGTAGTTTCATGACTTTTTTCCCTCAAGTCTTGCGCACATTTCGATACCATTTTCGTCAAAATCGGATAAACCTGTAAGGTGTTACATAACAATTAGTATGCGCATGTCATCAAAAAAGTGCTATAATTGCATATATTATATTCATGTACAAGCAGAAATGTGAAGATATGAATTGATGTCAAATTGCTTTTATATGTTTCTCAGAGTAACTTGATGTATTCCAGAACAAAAGAATACATTAGAAATAAAACATTAGATATAATAAGAAATAAAAAACAATAAAATACATAAGAAAATAAATAGTTGAAAATCGCATCAAATTTGCATAAATTATCATTATTAATTACATCAAATAACTATTTTGTGTTAGAAAAGAAGTTGCATATGAATAATGAGTTTCAACATTCAAAAAGTGGATTCTGACAATTTTTGTAATGATTCTAGTTCCCTAAATATAGTTCCAGATTTGATATTCATGAATGCGTAATTTGCATATTCATAATTTATGCAAATTAACCTATGCATTTTCAAATTTCATAAAAATAATGAAACCTCATGAATCTGAGATGAAGGAAACATTTATTGAATACATTTTCAAGATTCTTCACAAGTCTACGGACTTACGAAACTAATTATACCATCTTGTTTGTTACGTTAATATCTACAAATATGCAAATTTTCGTGTTCATCGGACATTCGACGGCCGAGATCATAGGGGGGGGGGGCCTCCCAGGCCCCCCCCCCCCCAGTCAGAGGGTGCTCAAAATAGCCCAGTACAGTAAGGGTTAATGGGTTTACAAGTCTGCACACACAAACAGGTGGTCCAATCCACAAATACCTCCTCGTCTCTGTCTCTCGGAGAGTCCTCGGAGAGGGCTGCAAATGTCAAATAAGGACTTTACCATATGGGAAAATGACAGAGCTTTACATAAAGCTTGTTGGTCATAAAACTGAAGGCTAATTCAGGTGATTGAAAACACCTGAAGGGTGTCAAATTCCCCAGGAGACTCCACTTTTATGTGTCTTTAAAGTCTCAAATATGATAGAAACTGGGAGAATAAGTATGGCAATTAGTTTATTGTTTTTCTTTTCTTCTCTTCCATCATAAATGCAGTGTTTCTGATTATGATAATGATATCTGGTTATGATAATAAATAAAATGAATTAACACTAGAAAGAACATTATCAGGGATCGCCTGAAAAGATAGCAAAGAGAGGGGCAAAAAGCAAGAGAAGCAGCGAGTGAGAGGAGAGAGAGAGAAGAGAGAGAGAGAGAGAGAGAGAGAGAGAGAGAGAGAGAGAGAGGGGGAGAGAGAGAGGGGAGAGAGAGAGAGAGGGAAAGAGGAAACGGACAGAAAGGAGATGGAATTCAAGAGGTGATGACAAATATTAGAAGTACTAGTAAAGGGTGAAGAAGGATCAAGATATATATACATGTAAATGTGTAAGAAAAGACAAGGAGAAATAGTAAAATACATGAATGAAATGGTAAGAAAGGATTGGAACTTAAACTTTATAGTTCATACTATGTCCTAGTCTGTAGAGACATACTGGAGGCGAGAGCAGCAAAGGGTTTTCCCCCTGGTTTAGGGCCCTTCCGCTTCACATACTCTAGCAGACGAACCTATTTTGGATAGAGATAATAAAAAATAAAACACATGACAGTCAATGCTAGCCAATTAGTTGGATACAAGGATTAATGAGACTTTAAAGCACAAAAGCAAAATGAAATTCCAGTAAATACCTTGGATTAAATGGGAGAATGAAATGCCACAACTGAAAAAAAGTTTTTTTGCTTTTCCTGTTTGTGTTAAAGGGAACCAAAACTTTCAAACTAAGTTACTCTCATTGTAAAGTTGAAATGATTGGAATAAAATCAAGGGAAAATTTGAACAAAGTCAGGCAGGGAATAAGGAAGTTAATGTCTTTTTAAAATAACTTGTCAGTAGAGGGCGATATCTAATTTGATGACACCATTTATGGACAACTCTCCTTGCCTTCTGACCATGACATTTCACAATTTTTCCATTTTTTGTGGATTCATTTGTGTTCATGATTTAGGCCCTGTTTCATAAAACTTGTTACCAATAACAAATGCTAAATTTCTATGACAAATTTGCTCTCAGCCAATCAAATGACATGATTTCAGTAGCTTGTAACACTTATTGTAACTTGTTATTAATAACAAGTTTCATGAAACAGGGCCCAGACTTCATAAAATGTCAAGTAGAATGTCATTCCACATTCTATATTTTGTTTTCAGGGAAGTATTATCTCAATCGCAAGAAAGAAAGGAAAAAAAAGAAGAAATATGAAGTACAAACGTCCATTCTTTTCAGCCAGGTTAAATAGGTTAAGGGCTAGACCGGACATGGGGAGTGTTTCACAAAGACTAAGATCGACTTTAAGTTGGACTTAACTATGGCAGGCCATTTATGCCACTGTTTGCTCTCACCATTTACTGGTGTCTCAAGGGACGTACAAATCATGGTCAAAAATCTACAAAATTTACATTTTTTGATGATTCATTATTGAAGAAAAAAATATTATCTAAAGATCATAATGGTGAGATAAAACAGTGGCATGAACGGCCTGCCATAGTTAAGTCCAACTTAAAGTCGATCTTAGTCTTTGTGAAACACTCCCCAGGGATGTTAACTGACACCATCAGTGTCATTTTGAAAAAGATTTATGTACAACTCAAAGTGGGAGAAAAATGAAAAGAAAAAAATGACATCGATCTTACCATGTATTTGGTGTCAGCCTGTCCATTCTTCTGAGCAAGGTTCCATAGATTGAGAGCTAGACCCGACATGGCCGGTTGACTAATATCACCATGGAGGATGATGCACTCAAAGAACTCGCTAGCAATCACTGCTTGTCTTTTCACGCCGCCCTATAACAATAGCATAGAAAAAGAAAGTGTGAATCGAACCTGAGATTACATCATTCCTCTGATAGCATTGAAAGACTTGCAATATTCTATTTCACCATTTACAATTTAAAATAAAATAAAGTAATCTTGAATTAAGAATCAATGTGGTATTCTGAAAATAATTATATAATTCTTTTAGGAAAAGATATCTTTATTGTCGAAACAAATCAAACACTGTGGTGCATTAATGACAGCAGGTATGTGGCTGCATGTGCAGAAGACATCTGGACAAACCAATGAAAATTTGCAATTTAAAATTTGATAAAACAAATAATATAATTTCTCTATAACAAAGATGAAACATATGTTCAGAACATTGTTCTGGTACTTTTCGTGTGCTGCTTATCTTGTACTGAAGTGATATGTTCAGTTCAGTTTATTTTAACCATAAAAATGAAACATGTACATACAAAATGGTATTCCATTTATAAAGCTTTCACAAATACTCCCAATACCAACTACATGTAGAAAAAAATGGTGCAAAGTTGAAATGTAATAAGGAATCAGATGTCAATATTTTTGTTTCCCGGTGCATGATAGCTCAGAACAGATATGTAAACAAAAGTAGTACACCCCCCTCCTCCCCTCTAAAAAAAATACAATTAATGCCTTTCTACCTCAAAACAAAATGAAATGAGATACAGTGAAACCTGTCTATAAAAACCACCCAAAGAGATGATAAAAGTGGTCTTTACAGGCAGGTGGTCTATGTACAGGTTCCTTTAGTACATGTTTCAATGAGAAACCATTTTCAAGTGAAACAAAAAATGTGGTCTTTGTAGACAGGTTTGAATGTGTATCATAACTCTATAGAAATATGCAGAGGTGTTGTGGTCGAGTGGATACGTCGCCGGACTATCGATCACAAGGTCCGCGGTTCGAGTCCCGCTGCTGCACTAATGTCCTTTGGCAAGACATTGATCTACATTTGCCACTCTCCACCCAGGTGAAGTTAATGGGTACCTGGTAGGAATTTATTCCTTGAAACGCAGCGCGCGTAACAGCTGCACTGCTAAAGCCAGGGTAATTATGCTGCATTATTGTAGAGCGCTTAGAGACTTCTGACAAAGTAAGTGTTAGGCGCTCTATAAGCACTGTAATTATTATTATCATTATTATGCTACTCACATCTTGACCCAGAGTCTTGCAGTGGTCAAGGATAGCAAGGATGAGTGTCCCAGCCACTGCGCTGACCTCCCCCAGAAACTTCTTATCGCTACCATAGAGGGCGTCATTTGAATCCACTGAAGAAAAAAATGACAAGGGAAGGGCGTCAAAGTGAGGAACACTTTAAAATGATCGTTTAATCAGACTGAAGACATATTCAACTATAAAATGATTCCTTTAAAGCCCCACTGCACTACCTATAGCTAGTTTGGCCCTCTATACAACCAACAATGCCCAAGTGGTACCCGTTGATACCCATGATGCCCTTTTGCTTTTGTTAATTGAGAGCTGATTTCATGAGATAACCACCTGTCAGTGACCTTGCAGGGAGGTCTTATCCCTCCATGTCCAAACTAGTGCAGAGGGGCTTTAATAAGATCCACAGTATATTTCCAACCTAAATCAGCATGGGTACCCACTCCCTTCCATAGCTTAACACAATTCCCATTCAGATCCAAAGTAAATTTCAATCTACTCAGCCCACAAGTTGATTCACATTCTAGAATCTTTCATATACAAAGTATCAATCAAAATTTCATATCAAAAGTAAATACTCCTGGGGTGAGTTTCACAAAGATCCTAAGTTGAACTTATCTCTAAGTTGGACTTAACAATTACGAAAAGCCATTCCCATTCACATCCTTGAAAATGTTTTGTAAAAGTTATTTTAAAAGGCATAAAATGTTGATTCAAATCATTCATATTTTCTATTATGAAGGAGATTTCATGTTCATGATGTGGAATTTATGAAAGTCTAAAATACGTGAATTTCTGCTTTTTAATATATTTCATTTTAAGGCTACAAATTGCTCTCCGTAACTTTAAAGTCCAACTTAGAGTTTAGCTCTACTTAGGATCTTTGTGAAACACCCCCTGGTTCAATTTTGATTCCACCACGAGATGAAAACTGAAACTCAAAGCACTCACCATTTTTGACATGGTATGCAAATTGGTCCTGAGACTGGGCAGAGAGAAGACACAGTACGTTCATATAGATACGAGCCTTGGCATCGCTATGGGTGTCCCAAGCGTAGTCTTGGAAAACATTGAGAAGACCCCGCAGGAGATACAGGCATCCCTGCTCTGGGTTGTCCTACAAAGACGGAGAGAATGGGAGAGAGGACTTATAAAGAAAGAAAGACTCAGTATGGACAAAGGTATGATGAAAGTATGCCATGTAATCAAGAAAGGTTAGGACAAAAAGTTTGGAGACCTGGGCCCCGTATTATAAAAAGTCATCTAATCAATCGCAAGTTTGTAGTCCCCTATCTCTTATGTACAAAGTTGCGATTGATATCAATTGCAAATTAATATCAGCTCTTTATTAGACAGGGCCAAGGGGTTGAAATGAATGCCTTATGAAATGGTATTGGCATACTGACCAAATAGTATTACTCCATATAAAATTAAACATATACAAATTTTGCTAAAGTCAGGGTCAAATTTTTCAAGAAGAAGTGACAGAGACAGGGTAACTTGATTGAAACAGAAGAAAAACAAAATGAGAATTAAAGGGAAATCCAACATTGAGAGCAAACAACTCTAACTGCATGAAAGCAGACTGGTGAAAAGTTGAACAAAATTGGACAAGAAATAACAAGGTTATGAACTTTTGAAAGTCATTAACACTATTCATATTGGAACTGTATACTGACTGAGGAGGTAATGCCAGACAAATTTCTCATTTGCTCCAATACACAAAATGACGAAAATTTCATTTTTTTTCTCAAAATGTATGACTCTGGAGCTTCTTATCTTCTGATATTCCCCCCCCCCTTTTTTAGAGGACCTATATTAATATACTATCCATAATATATTATGAGTTGTACCATGTGATAAGGTACTTGGGATAGTCGTTGATAGACTACATCACAATCCACTGACAAAATTACAAATTTGAAAGTTGCATAGCTATAGCGATCTCATATTCAAACATTCATACATGTAACTCTCTTATCAAATCGCCTTCTGATTTCTTTACAATTTTTGTCATTCTCTTTTCATTATCATTCTGCTTTCATCAAATGAATTCATTACAAAGGTTGGATTGCCATTTAAAGAGAGAGAGAGAGAGAGAGAGAGAGAGAGAGAGAAAAGAGGGAGAGAGAGGGAGAGAGAGAGAGAGAGAAAAGAGGGAGAGAGAGAGAGAGAGAAAAGAGAGAGAGAGAGACACACACACACACACATACAGATAAAGAGGAAAATAATGAACGTGAAGAAAAGAAAACAAAGAAAATAGCAGATATAAAGAAACAAGAAAATAACTTATAAGAGATAAGAGTAAGAAAAAGTGAACAAAGATTAGAAAGGAGAGATAACAAGAAGTAGATGAGAGAATACAAAAAACAGGAGGATGGGGAATAATCACCCAATAGACTTATGATGCTGCAACTTACCGGTACTGTTAGCAGAGTAGAGAGAAAGCTATTGACATAGTTGAGGAGAAGGAGCTCGGAAGATCTCATCTTGCGATCGATCACTAGCATCCTGGGTACACTCGGGATCAAACTGATGGAAGCCTTGAAGAAAGCATCAGCTGAAATTTAAGAAAAAATACAGTTCAATTCCACGATGGGTCTTGACAAGAAATAAATGGATACCCAAAAGCAGTTGCCCCGATTGATGTTAGTTTTACTGTGGAGGTATAAATTTGATCAATCAATCATGAATACCTTTCTCTTTATGCTTTCAAATTATTAACCCTTCAAATTTTTCATATATTCTTTCTGTAAATCTAATTTGATGTCTTTTAACACAGGACTGCAGTACTTGTAGCTACTTGCGCCTTCCTTTATAGCAAACAATGCCTAAGTGGTACCCATTGGTCTCCCATGGTCCCCTTTTTATTATGTTAATTGAGAACTGATTTGATGAGATAAGCACCTGTCAGTGACCATGCAGGAAGGTCTAATACCTCCTGGTCAAACTAGTGCAGATAGGCTTTAACAATAGCTCTCAAGGCAAAATTACAAATACAAATATTTTGTACGTTTTAACACAGAAATGTTCAAAAAAGAAACAAAAATAGGGTTCATAACATTAGTCTGAATGCCAGAAAATAGGAATCATTCCTCCAAAATAGAAATTGTTGACAGCTATCCATGGAGTAAGTAAAATAAGAAATAGAAGAAAAAAGTGTCGTGAACTGGTTTATCTCACATCTCAAGAAAGTATAATTATGATGGACAGCATAACTGATTGTGGTAAAGTCCATTTGTAAATATATTCTTCTCTCCCCCATATCATCTGATTACTTTCAATATTGAACACACACAGATCTTAGTTGCCAATTTAATGACTAATCTACAAGGAAATGTGTAAATAATCTTTTCTCTCCCCCCAAATCATCTGAAAAATTTAAATATTGAACACACACAGATCTTGGTTGCCAATTTAATGACTAATCTACAAGGAAATGTGTAAATAATCTTTTCTCTCCCCCCAAATCATCTGAAAATTTTAAATATTGAACACACACAGATCTTGGTTGCCAATTTAATGACTAATCTACAAGGAAATGTGTTAATAATCTTTTCTCTCCCCCAAAACATCTAATAACTTTCAATATTGAACACACACACAGATCTTGGTTGCCAATTTAATGACTAATCTACAAGGAAATGTGTTAATAATCTTTTCTCTCCCCCAAAACATCTGATAACTTTCAATATTGAACACACACAGATCTTGGTTGCCAATTTAATGACTAATCTACAAGGAAATGTGTAAATAATCTTTTCTCTCCCCCCAAATCATCTAATAACTTTCAATATTGAACACACACACAGATCTTGGTTGCCAATTTAATGACTAATCTACAAGGAAATGTGTTAATAATCTTTTCTCTCCCCCAAAACATCTGATAACTTTCAATATTGAACACACACAGATCTTGGTTGCCAATTTAATGAATAATCTTTTCTCTCCCCCATATTATCTGAAAAATTTAATATTGAACAAACACAGATCTTGGTTGCCAAATTGATGACTAATCCAACGGGAAGCAAGAAGGGCATACATGTACCTTGTGTAAGAGCTTGGTTGAGTACAGCTACTTGACCTGATGCTAGGTAAAGGTTAAGACGGTGAAAGATGCCCACTATGGAGGGGATGGTGATGAAGGAATAGGCTGCACACGCCTACAATACACAAAGAAAACAACATTTACATCAATAATGATAACTTGTAACATATAATTAATTTATCAATGATAATACATTTAGTATTCTCTATGATATTTATAATAGTAATGAAAATAATGATCTTTACAATGATGATAGAAATAGTGAAAAATAACATTAATTTGTATCATACCTAACTATAGTGATAAACATAACATTTTACGTCTTTCAAAGACCAAAGATGGTTTATACCACTCAAACTTTTATATTGTATCTTATACTTTTGGAAAAAAACCATTTTTGTCTTTCTCCTTGAAATTCAGAATGTGTGCATTAATTTTTAAGTTAGATATCATGGAATACTGCTCGTATCTGCATAAAGATTGAAACAATATTCGAAGGCATTCACTATGAGCACAAGAAACACAGAGTTCCTGTTTCATCAAACTAAATATCAATGACAACGTACAATAATTGTTATAAGTTACTGAAATCGTGGAATATGATTGGTTGGGAGCACATTTGTTATAGACAAGTGGCAGGTTGTTAGTCCTCACAAGATTTGTGCAACAGGGTCTAGGGCCCTGTTTCATGAAACTTGTTATCAATTACACATGCTAAATTTCTATGACAAATTTGCTCCTATCCAATCAAATGCCACGATTTTGGTAGCTTATAACGGCTATTGTAACTTGTTATTGATAACAAGTTTTGTGCAACAGGGTCAGCCTGATCTGGTACCTTACCCTAACAAATGCAGAGGTTTTCCTGGAATGGTTTCCCTTCATAACAGCGCAGGTCTCTGCAGCCAGCCGGTTCACACACTGTCAATGATAAGTCATCAGGAGGAAATTGAGAAAAGAGATAACACGGTCAGTCGTAAATGTAAACTTGATTATTTCTTACAAAATTAGCTAGATTAATATGGATAAGAGGAAAGGTAGAGGAGGATATTTTTAGAAAAATGTGTTTAAATACAGAAGCATGAGTAAACTAAACTAAATTAAAAAAAAACAGCATAAAAATATAATTTGTTGTTGTTGTCATAACCAGAATTCAATGAGTAAAAACAAATACACTGAAAATGCAATCCTGTTCTCAAGTCGTGTCTGGTACATGTATGATTAAATTATATTAAACTAGACACATTCAGAGATTAACAACAGACAGGCTGTTACTATGATAATTAACAAATGTACTGCTAGATTTACCTGTACAAGTGTGACCAATACTGCATCAAGGTTGCTGAAGTTAGCCCTCGATTCTACATAGAATGACAGCTGCTGCTCAAAGTCTCGACCATAGTTGATCTGCAAAGTTAGAGATGGTTAGGTTACTAGTATGAAATAATAAATCACCAAAGTCACATAACATTGTTTGAATAATAATTTAGAAAATTAGGGAGATGCTTTGATTGTGATTAAATACTTATCAATATACCTGTACAATCTCAACATTAAACATGCATTTATACAAATGAAAATTTGCAATGACACACGTACACTTGATAACCTAGGCATCACATACATGTATATCAATGTAGTTTGTACAGGCACTCATGGAATCTTAAGATTGTGCTTCTATTTGCCTGTCAATAATTTGAATATAATCATATTTAATTTCCTCTAAAATCTCGCTCTGGCAAGATGACAAAAAACAGATTGTGCAGTGATTGTTGATTTTCTGCTATCAATAAATGGGTTTTGTGTGGCCCCATAGGTGAACATCATTTGAATCAATTATAGAGTGACAAGACACATGCAACTTCTTTGATGATGGATCAAAATTAACAAGAACAAGGTCATGGCTAAGCGTATCCTTCAAGCCACTTTGCATCTTGGTAACATGTTTACCTTCCGAACGAAGCCGGAGATGAGTGTCCCGATATCTCTCCTCTCATCATCTAGAGTCAAGGCACTGTGGGTGAATTCAAGAAGGAAACATGGATTACTATTTTCCCTAAAACATCAGATTGTATGAATTGATGCTCACTCTTCATACCAAGATAAACACTGAAAAAAGGGACCAAAATAAGGAAGATATCAATGAATTTGTAAACTTTGTGTGACAGCAAGGTTTGATTTCAGGAAAATAATTGATATCACTTTTTTTGTTCCATTCCTTTTATTTGAAGGTAATACAAAGTTTTGGGAAATTTTGAAAATTGGATGGATGGTGATTTTTAATAGAATTTTGATATATTTGGATGCCCATGTGGATGTATTATAAGCACTAGAAAATTTAACCCCTAAAATCAAATATCCAGAAATGGTAAATACAAATACAAAATACAAAACACTTCTGCTTTTGAGAAATATTTAATACAAAATTTAACGGTCCTTCCGGTAAATTTCGATAAATTTCAAATAGCGCCTACGGCCTTACAATGGTAGCTGCGACCATGAAAATCTCAGAATATGTAGTTGTGATATACAATTTCCAAATGAGAATAGCCAATTGGTTGATTTTAGACAAGAAACATTGTTTTATAGCTAAATTAATATCTTGACCTTGAGAGGGAGCTATACAACATAAATAGTTTATTATTGACAATTTCATCACTTTAAACTCGATTTCAACCGCGACAACGATCACTGAATATTGTAGGATCGTATATGCTTTCAATATGTTCATTTGAACCAAATTCATGACCCCATACCAAAAATTTGTATTACCTTTAAGTCATACAAACTCTTCTTACTTGATAGAATCATGCATGGTCTTGCAGATGAACATGACAGCATTCACTATGACTGGGTCTTTGGTCTGCTCCTCTTGGTATCTACAGAAATTATTTTTAAAAAAATGAACAAACTTGAATTGTTAATCATAGCATACTTGATGGGGAAAGGGAAATTTTATATGGCATTGTGAGAGAATATCGTCAGATCCACTGGTTAAATCCTGATTACCCATCACTGTTGCTGTTTGGCCTAAGTCGTCACTGCATTGTAATCATCATCATCGTGATCATCAAAATCAGCATTTTCATCATCATGAGCCTCGATTCCATCATCATCATCTACATTATTATCATCATCCTAATTATTCTCATCCTTATTATCATAATTGTCATCATCATCATCATTACCATTACCATGACATAATCATCATACTACCAAAATCTGCAACATCATCAACATAACCACCATCACCAACATCATCATCATTCCTAAAATCTGGCACCATCATCAACATCATTCATTTTCAGTTAGACTCACTTGCAGAATGCCTCCATGATTGTCTTGCAAATCTCAACCTTCACTGCATCCTTCTGGAACATATCAACAAAGGGCAGAAACTTGTCCTGCAAAAACAGTGGAACAAACGGGATTAGGGAAAATGGACTGTGTAAATTTTATTACATTTTAGCGCATGATCACCAGAGAAAGACAATGTTTTGACCTAGTACAATTCACCAATTTATGGTTGGTGTCACTGACTGAAAATACAAAAACACATGTAGATTCATTTCAATGCAAATGTTTCAAATGTTATTTTCTCATATTTATGCAGTTTTATTGTACAAAGTATATACATACTTAAATTATGAACCATTTTTATGCCTGCCTTCTTATTGTATGAAATCTAACTCATGGTAAATAAATAAATAAATAAATATTGTGATTACCCCTTGCTAACAAACACATGATTATGATTACTACCGGTAAATACTTTCAAATTGCAAAAAGAAAAATCACACACAAAAATTGAAGAATTGTAACAAATACATACTAAAGCTTTTCATCTAGCACTCATTGGAGTAGATCACAAGCGTGAATGGCTTTCTGTTCATTTTTTAGATTTACTCCAATGAGGGCAAGAAATAAAGCTTTAGTTTGTCTGTATTTATTAATGATCTTTGATTTTGTAATACCAATCATCTCTTTCGTTACAAAAATAATTAAATTGAGAAATGATGGGCAATAAGAGTAAGCTATTTAGATGGGAAATGCGCAAGATTCACTTACCATAACAAAGAGGATGGAGAAGTTGTGCATGTGTGACAGAACTTTAGACATCACAGATTGGAGCTGTAGAATTGAAAAAGAAAGTCACAAATGTAGTTTTGCCTCAACTTAGTTACCATGTTACATGTCCATATGTACATTTAAATCATGTTAAGATATACATGTGAAATTTTAAACAAATAATTCATGTTCACAATTGGATAATGAACAGTAAGCGTGGTAGGAAAAAATGATCACTTGTCATATAATACTAACTATTGACACACAACTTTGCCATAAAGGGGACAGAGAAGGAGAAGAAGAAAAACAAACACATTAACACTTGGAAAACAAGACTTTTGTATGGGTAAAATAGGTTGGTAACCCTCCATCCATTATGAAGCCTCAGAGGAGCTGGTAGGATTATAGAAGCCCAGTAGGATACTGAAAATCATGTCACTGGGGAAAAATTACTGTCAAATATCATTGTTGCCCTTTCCTGGACAATCCTACATGTAGATCCACACCTGTGCAATTAATGGCTTACATAACTTTGAAAAATGACTTACTTTATAGAGCGCTTTAATACAAGAAAAGTTACAATCATTGTCGTAATCATCTCTCTCATTTTGTCCCTGTCTCGTGATATAGAGGCTATGAACCCATTACCTGTGGGTAGTGCTGCTCAAAAGCTCTATCTGGTGTCATGTGCTTGATGATATCGCCCAAGATGGTGTTCACCTCCTTTTTCTGAAAACAAAGAGAAAATATAAAGTGGATTGAACTGATAGTGTTGTGTGAGGACAGAGAAGAGACATTTTTGCCAGTTGTCATTCTTATGATAGTTAACACAGGGTGCTTGCAATACGTGATCAAGCAATTGCATTACCAGCTCACTTTCACAAGATTTATATATTTGCGATCCTACAATAATTTGTGAATATTCCCGAAAATAAAATCCTTATAAGAAAAAGACTTAAACAGTATATTTAATATAACTAATAGTTATGTGTACAATAAGAAACCATTAAGAAACATAAACAAAAATATTATGTATGAATTAAATCAATCAACTCCTTCCATGCAAGTCAAGTTAGACAATGCAGAGTGAGCTAGGCGCAATGGCTCAGTGGTAGAGCACTGGTCTCCTAACTTTTAGGTCCCGGAGGTTCGAAACCAAGTCGATGCACTAGTGCCCTCTGAAAAGGCATTAATACTCTTTATCAAGTCCATCTGAGAGGACTGACGGCCATCGGTCCTCTGGTTGCTTACTTACAAGCATACACATGCTTATTAGCAGTCAGGTTTCAAAACAAACAAGCAAACAAACTAATCTTCAACGATGGCATGATATTTCTTTAAAAAACCTTTTAGATGATCAAAGCTGATTGTTAATACGATTACTTACTGTGAAATGACGGCAGGGATATTCAATCCAGACCTCGGCACAACTGATGTAATCCTATACCCAGACAAAATTACAAAGAGAATAGAGGATACTTGTAATCTTTCTTTTCAATTCAGTCAAATTATAGATCTTCAAAAAGGCATATGGACTTTAATACAACAATATCCTTAGTAAAATCATTGATCCCCTATGAAACTGCCTGCAACTTATCTATATCTACAATTTTGATGAATTAAGGTTCTCATTTACTAAAAATAGACAAATTTTGCATTCATTAAATTTTGGAGGCTACCCATAAATAGGTAGTACTAGATAGAAAGTATACTGATGTTGCGGAATTGTGGTCCGTCTATTAGATTTTTCAATCATCAATTTGTGGATTTAGATTCTGCCAAGTGATCAGGCTCTTACACATTGTTTCACTCATTATCATGATTTAAAAGAGAGGAACACATGCTGCACATACACATGGTCATCAACTGATGACACTACATACCTGCCAACTTTCAAAGTAAAGATTAGGAATCCCTCTAGGCAAATTAGGAATACAGTCATTTTGTATACTTTTCACACAGAAAAAGAAAGGAATTTACGGTTCATAACATTAGTTCGAGGGCCACAAAGTAGGCATCATTTCTCAAAAATAGGATTGGTTGGAGGCTATGACACTATTATAAACCCTGTGTATCATGGGGCTATCAAAATACTACCATTCTTTAACATTCATCTGATAAATTCAATAATTATACAGTTGCTTCATGCAATATCTTACTGAAGGGTTCTTGAGCTTCATGACCGCTTTCCAGACCTCGTTGAGGACGGACAACCTCTGCTGCTCCGGAGGGTCAGTCATGGTCAGATTGGTACCCAAAGACCGGTATAGGTTATGCTGAAATGAAAGGCATTGAGGAGACATTGTGAACATTGCCACAAGTAAGTAGGTTAAAGCATGATACTACTATGGCTATTTTGGACATTCTATGCTGCCTGGGGGAGGGGAGGTGTCAGTCATGGTTAGATTGGGGCCCAAGGACTGGTATAGATTAGGTTGAAGCTGAAATGAAAGTCATTGACAAAAACTCTTTGAGAATCATGGGTTCCTAATCTATTGGCACAATGGGTGAATATACTGAAACACATGGCAACTATGGCTATCAAGGACAATCTCTGCTGCCTTGGGAAAAGGGGGGAAGAGGAGGGGCCCTTTTGGTCAGATTGGTGGCCAAATATTGGTACGGGTTATGCTGAATTGTAAGGTATCAACACAAACTCTTTGAAAATCGTTGGGTTTAACCATTCTGATATACAGTGCATAGCGGAAATAAAAATGCCTAGGGACCGGTATAGGAAATGCTGAAATGAAAGGCATTGAGGAGACATAATGAATATTGGCACAAGTAAGCACACATCTACAATGGCTATGGTGGACAAGCTCTCCCTAGAGAAGGGGAGGTGTCACTCATGATGAGATTGGTGCCCAAGGACCGGTATAGGTTATACTGAAATGAAAGTAATTTACAAAAACTCTTTGAGAATCATGGGTTTCTAATCTATTGGCACAATGGGTGAATATACTGAAACACATGGCAACTATGGTTATCAAGGACAATCTCTGCTGCTTGGGGAAGGAAAGGTCATCATGGTCAGATCGGTGCCCAAGGTTCTGTACAGGTTATGCTGAAATGAAAGGCATCATGTGCACAGACTTTATTCATGTCTTGCTAAAGAGCACTGGCACAACAGGCTATGAATTAAGGGTGGACTGGCCATTTGAAAACTTGACCTTGTTTTAAAGATTACAAGTCGATCCAAAGACCCATCTCCAATCTCAGAGACTGGCACGTTTAATGCGTTGGTAATTATGTCTGTTTTGTGCTTGTTCGCATAACGTACAGCTAATGTATACATTCTTTTTTGTAATTCAATTAATAATTTGTGATATCCAATATCTGAATGTACATTGATTGTTCTGTTGGAAATGTAAATAAAACTGAAACTGAAACAAAATGCTTGGATGTGATTTATTAAGAGGAGCTTATCCTTTTAGTCCCATCTGCATAATCAAGACAGTGATATACATGTTGAACCCTAAGGATGAATTTACCTTTGGGAATCCCTCCTCTTCGCTTTCCTTGATCAGCTCAATGAACCTGATGGCTCTGCTACCGATGTACTCTGGTTTAAATGCTGACATGACTGAGTTCAGCAGCAAGGCACTGCTCAGACAAAAGTGAGAATCGGACCAACAGAAAATGTTTGTTAAAAATACACATTCACAACAGACCAGTTTACTAACATATTCAAATCTTATTGTTCTTGACAACCCGAATGCTTGCCCGGAGCTTGCCCTACATAGCAACAAGTAATGTATGCAGACTGGATTCCAAGTATTTTGATATATTCGTTAATAATAGGTTTAATGGAATACCTCGTCACTATGTCTCCAGTAAAGAAACATCCATAAATTTGAGTATGTTAGTAAACTGGTCTATTGAGTCATTGCTTTTCTAAAGGGGAAAGGTCTCTTGACATTTATCTTTGCTCACAACATAAGCATGTCCATTCTAATCTTTGAAAAGATGGTAGTGGAAATCCATGTTATTTTCAATATGAATTGATATCTTTTGCATCTGCATTGAATCTAAAATACTTTTGCAAGACCCCATAAAAGAGAGTTTGGTCTAGATAATTAGATATGATTCCTGTTAAACTTGTTGCACTTTATTAAAGTTAATCTCTAAACTCGTTATGCATAGCTCACTGTATTAAACAGGAACGCTATCAAGGTCACATTTCTACACGTATTGCATTGTTCAATGATATTCATTAAACATGAAAGGATTCTTGATACTTTTCAGAACCCTCCAATGTCACTGATACACTCTAAGATCGATTTACCTGTTACATTGCTTCTTGCATTTGTCCAAAATCTCTGTCAAGACTTCCTGTAAGATTACCAAAAAAAGAAAGAGGATGAAAGGTATCAAGGAACTTGGAAAGGTTGGATATTATCTTTTCCTTATAAAAAATGTCATCTCTTCAGGGCCAGAAGGGCATTAACTTTCTATTAAAGTTTATGAGGCAATGCCCTTCTGGCTCCAAACAGATGATATACACATGAGAAAAAGAAGCCACATGCTTCACAGAGTCGCCTCTGGGAAGCGTCCGGACACGAACAGACCCACCCACCCATGGCGGACAGCTGGGCAGCGTTTCATGAAACACTCATAAGTACAAGTTCACTGACATCCCATTGAAACGTGTGTTAAACTTAATACACACATTTCAATAGGATGTCGGTGAACTTGTACTTATGACGATTTCGTGAAACGCTGCCCTGACCCCAAAAGCCAGGACGCCAGTTGCGTACATCAGTTGGTGCTAGGTGGGGCATTTCATATTGTCTGCCCTTGCTCTTAGCTGCATTAAACTGTACTTACCTCAGAAGCATTGTATGCTACCGATTGTAGAATCCAATCGAGGGCGGGAGAGTAGAGGGAAAGATAGGAAGCCATGTCCAACCTCTGGACTGCCAAGATGTTCTGTACCGTGTCACTTTGAAGCTACGGGGTGAAGAAAAAAAGATGATGCTTAAAGACAAAGTTGAGTCCTGGTCATGCAATTGCATTGTGAAAAAACAGTGTGGAATCAATCAGAAAAGGTTGATCATCTAGCATATAAGTGTTCGTGTGTACTGCAAGGTTCTGGGAGCATCAATATGATAACAAATTTGGCCCAGTCTTGGTAAAGTTACAATCACTGCATGTACACATAAAAATGTAAATGGGACTACACGAATGTGTGGCATAAAAATCTGTCCCGATATTGATGTTGTTACATGCCATATTTAGAATATGAAAGCATTTGAAAAGCTATGCTTTTTAGGGAACATTTTTATCTGATGTTTTACCACACTTGCAAAATAACAATGATAATGCTCACAAATTATTTTTCACCTGTTCCCCAAACTCAACCTTTTCTTTAAATGAACAAAGAAGTTGGTCAATAAGATCAGTCAATGAATAGATGAATTCATAAATTCATAACAAAATAAGTCATCTCATAATGAAGTAGGTAAATTTATAATTGAATAAATGCTTGGGACATGTAAAAATACATAAACAGTGTACATGTATCTTTGAGGAGGAATGAACCCATTAATAGGAGTATCAACAGCTGTCCATTAACACAACCAGAAAATATGGTTCAGCAGTAAATATTATCTGCAGTTGAATGCAAAATTCAGGTAAAAACTTATCCTTCAATTCCAGAATTCATATTTGTCATGATTCCAATTCCAATTCCAGGATGTGTATTTGTCATAACTCCAATTCCAAAATTTCTTGTTCTTATAAAAAGCCATTTATAGTTAAATTATATCTGATGCATATTTGCATTAAAAAACCCAACCATAATAATATGCGGGTGTTTTGCATAGAGAAACATATTCATGAGGCTATTTTTGTAAAGTAATCTCAAACTATGCATATCGTACATGTCACATAAAAGTACAAACAGGCACGAGGATACTAATTTGATTTAGAACGCCGGACTCTCCACTTTCAAGAATACTATACAAACAACTGGACCATGAAATATATGTAACTCATTGTAAGCGCCTTGAGCACCCTCTGGGTGGATATGTTGCGTATTATAAATGTCTTTATTATTATTATTATTATGATTAATTACACAAATAAAATTTCAGTCTGAGCTGCGATGTATACAAAGACATACCTGTTGGTAGGTGCCTAGGAAGTCATAGAAGTTACTTATGAGATGATCACGAGCATTTGGGGCAACATCCATTCCAACCTAAACAAATAAATAATCAATGAAATATCAAATTTTTAATGGTATACATGTACATTTACTTTATTATGATGATAATAATGAAAGTCGGTTTAGAAGCACATACATTTACTACTACTACTTCTACAACAACCATTACTATAACTACTACTACTATTACTACTACTACTACTACTACTACTACTACTACTACCACTCCTACCACTACTACCACTACTACTACCACTGCTACTATTAGTACTACCTCTACCACTTCCACTACTACTACTGCTATTACTACTCTACACCCACTACTACTAATATTACCCCTACAACTTTTTTGTACGAGGCAAGCTATTGTGAACATAGAGAAAATTACTATCTCTACTACTTCTACTACTACTACTACTAACACTACTACATCTACTACTACTTCTACTTCTACTACTTCTACTACTACTACTACTACTACTATTACTACTACTACTACTACTACTACTACTACTACTACTACTACTACTACTACTACTACTATTACTACTCTACACCTACTACTACTACTCATTTTTCGTCCAAGGCAAACAACTACATGTATGAACATAGAGAAAATCACTATCTCTCTACTACTACTACTTTATCCAAACTAATGATAATTATAACATGATAACAGGATTTAAAAAAATCATTTATATTCAAATTTGGACAGGAATAAAAAAAACCTGCAGGTCAGTACCGGTACCTTACTAAGTTAACTTTATCTAAACAATTGTAGACAGTTTTCAAATGTAAATACAGTGTATCATTATTTTGCCCTGTACATAGCAAAACTTCTCTGAAAATAAGTTGGGTTAATGAGGGATGTCAAATAGTCTCACCCTGCAAAGGTATGCTCTGGCATAGATAGCTACCAGAGGGTCTCCAACTCCCCTCATCTGATTGGTTAGTCTTAGCAATGCTTGGGAGTACTCCCTGGTGAGAAAATTGTTCATAAATAACATACCAAGGATGGTGATGATTAAAACGAAGACGAGGATGATATAAAGATGATAAAATAGCAGCTTTTAATATATAGCATGTTTAATTTTGAATATGGAAACTGCATATAAACAATATACCTACATAGAGTATTGTGCACATAATGATGCAACATTTGAACAAATTAATGTATATATTATGTTACAATGTAATGTAATACGTAATATGTTTTTCATGGTATAGATGCTGCTGCTGTTGCTGATTAATATCTACCGGTAATGTCAATACTGGTTTCTAAATGGGAAACCATTAAATATTAATAATAATATTCCGCTTTCATATAGTACTTATACATTGTCTCTAAGCGCTTTACAGACATACTATTACCCCGGGTACCCAATTAACATTTGGGTGGAGAGTAGCAAGTAAAACGTTCTCAAAAACAGGCGGATCATATCAGCTCATTCTGCTAATGGAAATTTGTGAATGCACTCACATAACTTACATACTGCACATGTATGTACATTATTTATGTAAGCATTGCCCAAGATCACAAATATACATGCATTCAAACAAAACTAATGGAATAAATATGTTATGTATAGGATTTTATTTAAAAACAAGCGTTTGCCATTAACTGCAACACTTACCCTTGAGTGAGGAAGCTGTAACATTTCAAGATAGCTGTCTCTACATAGCTGAGTATCTGGTGTCAAGGAATAAAACTAGAAAAACTGCATATGGTCAATTTCAGTGTAATGGACATGACGTTCAGACCAAATTTGGGTTTTCTAAAAAAACATATTTGACTGAGTAAAAGAGACACATAAACTTGTCATAGTAGCCCCATAATTTCTGGAGATATTGCAAATTTAAAGATTTTTGGAAAGTGAACATTTTTCATGGCAAAGCAATAAAACAAGCCATCTATCCTAAACAAGAAGAATAATCAAAAGCATGACATCTCATATCATTTTGAGTAACTTGCTAAGTACATGTATATCTTGATTGTGCACCCATCTGAAATGAATATTAAAGAAAATCAAAGGTAAATCACAAGAAAATCATAATTGTTAAATCTAATGGCCTGGTCTGACCTGAACAATAAGGATAATGATAACTAATTCCTAAATTGTTGCCCTTTTGCTTACATACAAAATTAATTGGAAAATGCTGGTTGTAGATCAGAACCTCAACGATTTATTCTAATGAGCCTCCCCAACCAATATTATCATCTAATCAGGATCACTTGGTATGTGATTTTCTTTGAACAGTCCTCAATGATACTAACTGAGAGTCAGTTTTCAATACTGTTACTCCTTCAATATGATATCAGTCCTGAAGAATCTTGTAGGCAATGTATTTGAGTGACAGAACCCAAGGGAATTCACCATGCAGACGTGACCACTGCTTTCTGTATCATTATCGTAAAAATGATCTTATTTTGGAACCAGAAGGACGTTAAACTCATATACTCTCACACAGAGTTCACAACCCTCTGGCTCTGAACAGACAATACATGCATCCAGTTTATCATCAAGGTTATTAACCAAGCCTTAATGTGACTTGGTAACATTGTCTCAGATTCTGAAACAAAATCCTGGATTTAGCTCATGCTGCAATGACAATTATAAACCTTTAGGTCAGTCAGGAACGCCATGAATTTTACAAGCCGATCACCCGTCTGATTTTAAAGATATTTATGATTGGAAATCAAAATTTCATTTTTCGTTTTCCTAACCGTTTTTATAACACTACTCTTCTATTGGAGAAAATGAGTAAGGTAAAACCGGTCACTCAAAGATTTTCATATCACAGACACTGGTAACATGTAGGGCCATGCATCTCAGATTTAACATTGTTAAAGCTTATCTGTACTATTTTATAGGAGGGATTAGACCACACCACAAGGTCACTTGACAGGTGGCTATCTCATAAACTCGGCTCTCAATTAACATACCGGTAAGAAAAAGAGGTTCATGGGGGACCAATGGTCACCGATTAGGCATTGTTTTCTCTATAGAGGGAGCAAGTAGCTACAAGAAGGACAGTGTGGCTTTAAACGATGCCTTTAACTGCCATCAAGGATACAGCCTTGGAATGAGTTCTCGGATAGAAGCGATTTTGAAGAACCAGTTCCTGCAGGTCTCCTTGGCCGAGTTGGGCACCTGCTCCGGGGTGAAGTGAACAGGCAGGACCTGAGAGGTGTTGCTTCCGGGAGGCAGGTAGGTGGACTTTCTATGGATCCTGTCGTATACAAGACGACCTGGGGGGAGTTTCACAAAACTTGCCATCAGTAACAAATGACAGTCTTTGTAATAAGCTACTGAAATCCTTGCTTCTGATTGGTTGTCAGCAGATTTGTCACTGATTTTTGTCATATGTTTTGTCATATGTCATTGAAAAAAGGCTTTGTGAAACGGGCCCCTGGAGTGGCCAAAACAAAGGGGCAAGTTATCTGAAAGATGTTTGATGGAAGCGATGTGAGGGAATTCAATTCAATTCAATTCAATTCAAAAATGTTTTTTATTATAGCACAAACATGGTTCATACCAATACAAATTCACATGAAAGACAGCCATGGCTGGAATATTCAAGTTTACATGTTAGGCCCAATATATAACACTTTTAAAGGTATAAATGTAAAAAAATAGCAGTATAAAAAATAGGACTTAGATTCTGAAACTAAAAACCATAGGAGTTACTTGAGCAGATTTTCATTGTGAAGGTACAACTCCTTGTCTGAGAGATATATTAAGGATCCTAGTAAATGGTACACTCAAATCACATCCGAATTCTCTAATTAAATAATGCGAATAGGAAGATCGTCTGTAACAGATGCTTTATGTATCTGTAATTTACGCAATTTACAATAAACTTCCAATCGGGGATGAATATCTTATGCAAGCCCTAAAAATATTTCATAACATTTTTACAAATTTTATTGACGGATACTACATGGTTGGTTATGTGGAGAACTAAAAAACACAGAGTTTGTCTAGTTTTTAACTAATAGGACATCTACACAATGATAACTTTGCTGAACAAATTAACTGTTGCTTCATAATAATACTGATACAGTATGTAAAAGGAATTTCTTCCAAATGGGTACCCATTTACCTCACCTGGGTGGAGTGTGGCAAGTGTAGATTAATATTTTTGCCAAAAGACATACATGTAAGTGCCTAGAGGGCTACATTTATGGTGATTATGTATAACATCAGGTATTACTGAAACTCCATCGTCGCCTGGCTGGCAGAAGGGCGTTAGCTCGAATTTTAGGTCAAAGATGAAGCGTTAAGCAGAAGGGCGTTAGCACTAAATCGCCTCAAATTTTTATATAACTGACTTATTTCCAAAAAAAATTGTGGCCGTGTTCTACTATAATATTTCTATTAGTCTTTTAAGTTTTAAACCAATTTTCGGGACGGAAAGCAGTTTAAATGCGAATAATTCAAAAAGTAGTTTTCGAGTCGCTTGGCGCTAACGCCCTTCTACCAGCCGGCTGACAACATGTGTAGGGATAATCTTTCCTGACAGTCAATGCTTACCAAACGTGTCCAGTATATCGGTGATGAGAACAAACTTGCTCGGGTAGAACTTAATCACGGAAATGTCAGCAAGAAGCTTGGAGCACTAAAAACAAGAGAGAAAAATATTGAAAAACTATGAAATACTGCAATTAAAGGGTTGGATAAACAGGATAATGAAAACCATGCATTTGATGTGGCCAATCGTCTTCATAAAGATATCACAAATTTTGAAGGGTAAACTTATTAGTCACACAATTGACAAATGCAAAGCATAAAGTAACATGTTTAATGTAGAAAATCGTGGACTCCTGACATAATGCAAGAGTTTATATGCAGAGAGGTTGTGAGCAGGGTAGGCAAACCCAAATGTTCACTCTTATTGGTTTAACATTTGACAGTATTTTGCAGAAAAAATAAGTAGACTTTTCTTAAGCATTTGACCCATAGGAGTGTTTCACAAAGACTAAGATCGACTTTAAGTTGGACTTAACTATGGCAGGCCATTCATGCCACTGGTTGCTCTCACCATTGATCTCTCAATTATGATATTTAGATAATATTTTTTCCTTCAATAATGAACTATCAACAATGTGAAATCTGTAGATTTGTGACCGTGATTTGTACGTCCCTTGAGAAACTAATACCAGGAATGTTTAGAGGAACTAGTGGCATGAACGGCTTGTTATAGCTAAGTTCAACTTAAAGTCGATCTTAGTCTTTGTGAAACACCCCCCTGGTCTAGATCCGAAACATTGATGAGAGCGTGATTAGTTAATTACACATCAATCTATATGTGCCAGTACTCTTCTCAAATCTATGTTAGAAATATGTTCTATCTCACCTGAATGGCAATTTTCAGAGCCTTGACTTTCTGGTCCAGATCCCAAGCATTGATGAGAGCTTGGTTGAGCTCTTCAATACGGTAGACATACTCCTGCTGGCTAAGGTTCAACATCTCCTTCACGGAACCCTGTTCGAGAAGTGAAAAGGGAAAGGGGGGGGGGGGGGGGGGGTCATAAAAAAATGGAACTTTGTTGTATTTGTTTAAGAATCATTTGAAATTGATTAACATTTAGGTCATTCAATCTTGCAAATTAAGAATATTCTGACAAAATCTACAAGCCTACCTTTCACAACTAATTGATTGAGAGATATGCCTTGAGGTTCTTTATAAAGTAAATCCAGCAAAGAACATTATTCCATGGTTATAGTGATATGTAGTATTTTGCGGTAAAATACATACAGATTAGGCATAAGTAATTTGAAACATAGACATTTTCAAGGTGACAAGTGCCAAATTGTCATTTAATTCAGCAAAATGATAACCAACTTTAAATGACCATTGGTAATATGGTGTTCAATATAATAATAATTATATTGAACACTTTTATAGTGCTCATATCCCCTTTGCAAGGTGCTAAAGGCACTCTAATATTACCCTGGCTGGTGCTAGGTTACTGATTTTGGCGCTTACACCATTGGATCAAAGTTCGACTTAAAAGAAGTTCACTTCCATCCCTAAAATTTCAAGCTTGACTTGCATGTTGACAACTTAACAGTGATCATTTCAGATTTCATAAAACAGTAAATATTTTTGATACCTCCTCAAAGTCATCCAGCTGTTCTAGTCTGTTCTTGACCTTGTCTGTGACTGTGCCTTGGACTACCTGGGTTTTCACCGTCACTAGAATATTAAAGGAAAAGGAAATGAGAATTTGTTTTGAAGGCAAGACAATAAAACAAATATGTGAACTTTGTAAAGAGACATGACAATAAGCCTTATCTGACGATTCAAAAATGAATTTGTAGAACATTACAGCCAAAAATTTTGTAAATCCACTAAGCTGATGCTTGATAAGGAAAATGAAATGAGATTTTGGTTTTGAATTAAGGCAATAAAACAAATAAATAAACTTTGTAAAGAGACATTACAATAAGCCTTATCTGACGATTCAAAATAAATTTGTAGAACATTACAGCCAAATAATGCATTTTGTAAATGCACTATGTGGATGCTTAAGACCAGCGTGCGTGAATAAGGTCAAAAGGTAATAAGGTCAAAATGGTCAAATAAGGTCAAGATCTTCACCCACAGTTTGGAAAGTGGGTGATCAATGGATATGACCATACCTGCCAACATTTGAAAATGAGAATGAAGAATTTTTAGCACGGTATGTCTTCGAAAATAAGAAATCTGTACCCTTAACAGGCATTCGCACGTGCAGCGGAAGTGTAACTGGCAATACGAGGTAAATCTGTGCCAAAAAGCGAATACAAATTCGCTGCTCAATCATGCAACCCTTCAACGCACGCAATACGTGAACTCTCACATCACGGCATATGATAAAACAAGCTTAATTTGGCTTAAGCAACAAAAAAAAAAAAAAAAAAGAAATTTTGCAAATCCGGGAGATTCCGGATTTTGGGGTCCTAAAAATCCAGAAAAACTGGATATTCCGGATTATTCGGGAGGGTTGGCAGGTATGTACGACGATAGTGATGATAATCATAATGACTTAGAATAGTATGCTCAACATTTTCAAATCTACTTTTCGAGCGAGATAGAAACGATTAATAAAAACTTATTTGCTCTTGAAATATTCTTTGTTGAGGAGCATAAAGACATCAACACTGTGTAAAAGGATGTGATGTGAGTTACGACCCTTCTGCTCCAAAGAGACAGTATGTTATCTACTAACTTTAATTCAGTAAAATTGTCTCACCCTTTTCTCGATCAGCAGGTGATAGAAAACTCTGAAACAAATCAAAGAGTAATAACAGCATCGTTAAGCATGAACAGAAGATATTACTGTTCCCAGTCCTTCATCTTGGACTAACAATTTTATTTAGTTTCCAAAGTTCAAAGATTAAAATAATCTTTGAACAATAATTTAACAAAAGTCCCAGCTAGGAAATTGGATTAATACTCAAATGATTTTTAATAATGCTAGAGCCACATGTGGACCAACTGTTTGTTGAATTCTACGTAAACAGAAAAAATTGAAGGCATGTATGCAAAAAATCATAAATTTCCTGGTGCCAACAGATTTTTTTTTTTTTTTTTTTTTTTTTATATGCTCAGACATATCAATATGTCTGATTGAATAATGCATTTGCTCTGCTCAAAAATTCATAATATGTGTCTACGAAATGTTATATTGTCATGCTAAATTTGCAACTTTTTGCTAATTTTAAACCATGGGATCATATATGATGCATCATGCAATAATTAATATACAACATGCTTTAGAAAAGGGTTAAACTTTGTTGAGAGCCAGAAGGGTATTATATTCATCATTTTCTACAAAATTGTAGCCCATCTTGCTTTCAGCGGATGATTTTCTAAAGAAAAAGAAATGAGCACGAGTGCTTGTTTAGCCTGGCTCTATGTTAACAAAGATTGGCTGAGCTCACCGTTGTAATGGAGAGCTTCTCTGAGGTGGTGTACTTGCTCAGGATGCCGGCTTTCTTACTAGACCAAGGCTCAAAGGAATCATCTAGTCCTGCGGGAAGTCTTTGGGCTGCAGAGTCCGTCTGAAAGAGAATAGGCCAAATTTAAACACATTGCTTACTAGAACCGGATGGCTCCTGATTCAAAGTCATTGTTTTTCATTTTGTAGAATTTTAGAATTTTAGAATTTGTAGAATTTGTAGAATGTAGAATTTATTGACTCTTTGACCCCCTTTTGGGGTGTGAGAGTACAAACAAATATAAAAGTATAAATAGCAATGCATAACTCCTGTCCTGAGAAGGGTTAAAGCCCATCTGTACCAGTGTACAGGAGAGATTAGACCACTCTGCAAGGTCACTGGGCATGGGGTTATCTCATCAAATCAGCTCTCAATTAACATAAGAAAAAGAGAATCATGGGGTACCAATGGTCACCGGTTATGCACTGTTTGTTATATAGAGGGCCAAGTAGCTATAAGTAGTGCAGTGGGGATTAAAACAAGAGTAGATTTACTTACTGCATCTTTCTTGGAAAGTCCCAATGCAAGAGACAGAGGATCAGCGAGTGGGTCTACCTTGGGTTTGGCCGCAGCTGCAGCAGCAAACAGTGACAGGGGGTCACTGCCCTCCAAGGCACTGCTCAAGGGGTCAACATTCGAGGTCGCTTTCTTGGCGGCGTCCTGCTTGGGAGTACCACTGGTGCTCATGCGACTAGTTGACTTGCGAAGCTTTGCTTCGGCCACGTGCACCTGCGTAAGTAAGGAATGGAATGTTTACTCCAATTGTTAAGCAGGAGTTCTTGCTTCAAGAATGGAAAAGTCTGTATACATGCATTCAAGCCTTTCTTTATTTAGTTACTATTTTCCTTCTAATTCTCTTTAATTATTAAGAATATCAGTTTTCTATATTTAAAAGGCAAGGTAAAGGACAGAAACCTCATAGGATGACAAATACTGCATTTGCACAAAATGTGCACAACATGTTACTGTTTAACATTGTCAATATACCCTATGATTAAAAAAATATCATGTTTGTCCAATATTATTATTAAACACAGTATTAAAGGATGGTAGTTTTAACTATTTAACTATTTTAAACGTAGGACTACAAATTATTTTTTATTGGTGTTTTGAGGAACTAAGATTGGGCGGAATACTGACCGTTATGGGCTTCAGAGGATGCTCTGTAGTCACATCACCTTTCAGCAGAAGTTTTCTCTTCTCTGCTTCATATTCTCTAGGTCTTGCATGCCTGGGATTGAGAACAACAGAAATGCTCGTCATTAACACATCAATTAATGGTATAAAAATAATACATTGAAGATTATTATTGATAAAACTCATGTTATAGTTACATCCTCAAGAGCAGACTGCAACCATATTGAACTAACGTAAATCGCATGTTAGCTCATTATCCTCAGGAATATGTGAAGGGTAAACAAATTGCTGTCACTCTGGTATCAAATGTTCTTTTTTGGTGGTTATTTTTAAGTGCTTTATAGAGACACAATAACCAGGTTTAATATTTAATGCTCTTGTGCAACCAATCCTTGAATATGAAATATGCACTTTGGCACCAAAGATACAAGACAGATCTGGGAAGGTTGAGAAACTACAGATTCCATTCCATCTGCAGCAATGTTCGACTACGCGGTCTAGCGCGCGCTAGACCGCGCTATCTCTGCAGTGTGGAAGGTACAACGTCGTTTCGGTTCGCCCAATACTATAAGCGAGCCATGGCGAGCCAACACTGGAGCACCTCTTGGGGGTGGTCCACTAGAGATAGTGCGGTCCAGCGCGCGCTATCTCTGCCGGTGTGAACCCGAGCTACGATAGCACGCTGGAAGTCATCTATACTCATTCTATTTTGGTGCGATCTGAATCTGAATCGGTACAACTCTACACTCCTAGTTCGTAATAGCGCGCAAAATCTTTGACTGCTCTGACCTCATGACGTCACGCGTCATGGCAACAGGACCTCTAAAAAAAGGGGGTGCTACGATAGACCGCTGGCAGATCTCACTGCGGTGTGAATCCGGCGAATGCCAATAGGCGCTACGATAGCGCGATCCACGGTCCGCCCACGGACCCCCCTTGCGGTGTGAACACGCCCACAGACTGCTTCAAATTATAATTTCAAGTAGTTGGAGAGATGCCCAGAGGAGTCTAAAAACATTGTAGGTCAAATTGTAATTACTACCTCTTTACATTGCAAAAAATGTGACCAAACCCGCTGTTCAAATCATTTTCATAAACGGGCTCTGGAGTTAGCTGAATGTGAGAGCAAATGCCTTTAGAAGTAGAATGGTGAGTGACTGGAACACCCTACCAACTGAGGTCGTCACTGCCATATCTGTGAACTCTTTCATAGCCAGGCTTAATTGACAAATTTTGGTGTGGGGAACTATATTCTCACCCTTTGGAGATTAAATTTGATTGAAGCAATGTACACATTATGACACTGACACACGTCATCAGATCAAATTATTGGAGAAGGAAGGTGGAGCTTGGAAGACAAATAGACCTGGAAACTTGACTGAAGATCTCTACAATTTCCAGTACATCCACAAGAAGAGAAGAAAGAAGAGAAGAAAGAAGAGAAGAAAGAAGAGCCCACTAGACTAGACTAGGCACTAACTGACTAAGGCACTAGCAAACTCCGAGGCAAAGCAAGCCAGTGTGCACGAAGAACTTTGCGCATGGAGTGCTGTACAGTGAGTTTACACGCTCTCATCGGCCGATCCGCTCGAGTGGCTTTGAATTTAAGTGAAAGAGGGCCTACTTAACTTAAGCGCAACTTAAGTTCAATGGCAATGTCAATATATAATATTACGTCACACCATAGAGATTTTGACATGTCATGTTTTAAACAGGCGACGCACTTCACACATATTACTGACGCACACATGAAATTGCACACACATAAAATAGAAAAATCTACGAACATTTCAGAATAAATTTCCAGTTTGTACCTTATATATGACGAAAATGAGAATTGTTTAAACTAAAAAATAGTAACATAAGACCTAAACTTAAGTGAAATATTTAACCTTTTAAGAATGCTGAAAAAATCATAAAACATGGAGGGTTTGACTGAAATATCATAATTTTGGTATCAAATGAAACAGAATCCATCAACGAAGAAAGACACAGCCAAAATTTAAGGTGTTCAAAGACGTGCAGCACGATTTGTCCTTCAGAGATACCACCATACTGAAAGTGTGTCTGCCATGTTCAATGACCTTAAGTGGGATACCCTGGAGAAATGTTGACATGCTGCATGCCTAACCCTACTGTACAAGATTCAACATGGCCTCGTAGCAATAAATCCAGATCAGTTTGTCACACCTACGACTCAGAACAACACCAGGCAATTCCACCCGAATAAATTCAAGCTAATCACTGCCCGTACTGAGCTTTCCCACAGACAGTTGCAGCATGGTACATGCTCCCTCCAGATATCTTGGTTTCTGCAACAGCAGAAACCTTCCAGGGAGCCCTATTCCAGAAACGCCATTGATGGCTGAGAATCGTTTTTACTTGTACCTTGTACATAATACTCCAACTGACTGCACTGCACAAGAGCACCTTGCCAGACATTTCAACCTTGACGTTATATCCTGACTGATGGATCCTGTCAAGTACCGACGTAGAAGTAGAAGTACGCATTAGCATTGACTCTGCTTTGCTGGAGTGCTAAATGTAAGCTAGGCACATTCATGGGGCACTAAAGGGCGCTTCGCGAGCGTACGAAAATCTGAATGGCCTTGCTGCGGTGGGTCGGCAATAATCAGCCCAAAACTTGAATATGGGAGGGTGGAAGGATATATCTTTTTTTATCCGATCTTATCCCTAACCATCCTATGTTTAATCTATGTAGAAATAACATGCGAGTACGATAAGAGAAACATTGGGCCCATTACTGATGCAACTTTTTAAATATTAGCCTAGAAATGACCACCAAACGGAAAAAAAATGACATTTTTTTCCGACAAATCTTCATAAAATCTGAGTTATAAACAACTCACAACTAGGCTCGGTAATGCAAATACGATTTTCTGAAAATTCAGGTGTGATTTTTTAAGTTTCTTTCAAGTATATTTCTGCGCATCGCAGCGCAAATTTTCTTCACTGCTTCAAAATCACCCTTGAAAATTTTTTTTGCAACGAATTTGATACGGGGTACGCGAGTGTTCCCCGTTCCTTGCGTGTTGAAAGTTTGGTAATACAAAGTTTGCATTGACTCGCGCACGAAAAAATGGCTCGAAAACAAATGTCTAAACGAGATATAAACAAGCTTTTGTATAGTTATAAGAGATCTACCGAGGTTTCTTTGTCGATATAATTTATTATATAGTCTCAATTAGAATTCAGAATTATCTCACTGAAACCGACGATGTTCTAGATCGTAGTTATTTTCACTTTGCCAGCAGACGTTCTAGCGTGGTTTTGGCAAAAAGCTAGCCCGCCACCTTCCCACCTCGAACCTTTCGAGTTCCGCTAAAATTGTGCGCTGCGGAGCTCCGAAGGTGCGTTGGTATCGCTGGCAAACTCTCGGGCGGCTAGCTCCCCACGACGGACCATTCGCGGTATGGCGAGAGTGTGTGTGTGAGATACGATTTTGGATTCGAGAACGCACGTACCACAACCGTGCGCGTCATTTTCAGCTGTCGAATGTCTATGACCAATTTTACATGTACGATTTTTAGTACAGATACTTGGTCAGTTTTCTTCTTATATCTTTGGTTTTACAACATTTAAAAATATAATTTCTTCAAATTTGCTCCTGACTCGGTTCAGACTAATTGTCCGATGTGTTTTCAAGTCAATTTCTTGAATATATTTTTTTGCATGAATTTGCCTATGTAAGCTAAAAAAGTTCTAGAGTAAAGGAGCCGGTAATCGGCCAGCTCCAGTTTTCGGCAGATCCATTGGATGCACGGTAAAATCCCTTTAAAATACATCGCATAATAGCATATCACATATCCCACACATACCATACCATGCCAGAGTCACTTAAGAATCACATTTGCAATGGAAAATATATCCTAAAATATCACATTTTAGCGATGTAATCGGCGGTCCCGCTACCCAAATCTGAAAAATCGAGTTTCTTACGCGTGTATGTAAGAAATATGGGTACCAGAAAATGAGCTTTATTTCAAGTATTTTCAGATTTAGAGCCCGATTTTGTGTTAGTCCCAAGCTCAAAAGTATCTCATCGCATGTATTAAATCAATGCAGCCGGACCCCGCCACGCACACACGATATGTCTGTCTAATTCAGATTCCAACTTCCGATCACCGCTGTGCCTGTCTTCGGCCAGGCGAGCACCAGGGAGCTCCGGCGTGGGATACCTGCTCCGCCAGCTTGTGCTATACATCAGCGCGGAAACGCACGGCGCGCGCGAGCGCTTCCTATTGACTTTGTACATGCGGCCGTAAACTGAAACGCTCGGCCGATAACTGGCTCCAAAACAGTGAAAATTGAAATGAATATTGTCATGGCAATTCGTGATTTTTTTCTGGAATTCTTTTTTTGTTTAAATAATAATATTTGCTTCATGATTTGAACAAGAAATGATAATAAATAGGAAGTAAAGAGTCCAAAAAATAGGATTTTGTCTTAAGTGGCCGAAAACCGGCTCCTTTACTCTATGTGTGGTGTGCGAGGTTTGTTGGGTGCGGGAATGGGAGATTAATATGAAGGCATCTTAGTTTTTGCTTAGATCACTCTTCAGGCAGGTTTATTGGTGCCAAATAAAACTAGGCGATATCACTATCATTGCTCATATAGGCCTATAGCCCTGACTGAGGCTGAGGGGCAAGTCACACTCGCAGTCGCATACGTCACTCACAGTCAAACATGAAATCGAATGCGTGGGACAAGGTGGGCCAACATAGTACGTAGAAGTAAGGCTCAAGGTAATTGGTAGGTGAATACTTCAATGGAAATTTATGTCAAAAGGAACATTTATTCTATAACTACTTCTATGGAAACACTTTACTATCATTCTGTGCCTTAAAGTACCCTAATTCAGGCTTAATCGACAAACTTACCATTCGTACGTCGCCATTTTCACCTATCCCAGATCTTATCACGTGACAATAAAATCCACACGCCCCTCTCAGTAGTCAGTAGTCAGGTGGTCAGGTGGTCTTTTGTTCACACCAGGCGCGTATACAGGGGGGGGGGGGGGGGGGGGGGGGGGGGTTAAACCCCCTCTTTGATAATTTTTTATGTAAACCCCCCCCCCCCCTTGAAATTTTTTTTTTAAAATATGCCCCAACGGTGCAAAATGTCAAATTTTCAAATTTCGAGACCAAGAAAAAAAAAAGTGTCCTCTTACCCCCCCCCCCCCGCGTATTCAGCGGTCGGCTGAGTCGTTGCGATTTTTTTTTAGACCAAAAAAAAAGAAAAAAAGTGAGCTCTTACCCCCCCCCCCCCCCCCCCCCCCCCCCCCCCCACCCCCCGCTTATTCAGCGGCTGGCTGAGTCGTTGCGAAATTTTCGGCCCTATTTATAATTGTTAAAACACCCCCCTTGAAAAAATCCTGCGTACGCGCCTGGTTCACACTAGCTATAATCTAGGCGGAGTGCCGAGCTTTTTTCTTTGCTGCATGCTAGACTAACCCTAAGCAGAACGTCTGATACGGCGCGACTCACGGTTCGTAGTCTCGCCGTATCAGACGTTCTGCTTAGGGTTAGTCTAGCATGCAGCAAAGAAAAAAGCTCGGCACTCCGCCTAGATTATAGGCTAGGTTCACACAGAATAAATTTGGAGGGGGGGGGGGGGGTAGACATTTGGCTGACTGAACCATTTGAATAACCATAAGTTATTCACACAACTTTCATGAGCACAATACCAGTACTCGTCTCCTGGTTTTGGAACAATATTAACAATATTAACTGTCACCATGTTTTTTTGAAAGTGGAGCTGAATTGGTTTGATCGTATTGGCTAAATTTCACACATTTTGGGGTCTAAAATTACCTTCATAGCAATTTAAGGTTCTAAAAGGGCACTATAAATGTCATAGATAAGAATAAGAGCAATAACCATGCACTTTGAAGGCATTTGTGGTCTCAAAACAGAACTCAACTATCCCTTTAAAACACTATCATACACAAATAATATGATTCGATTTTTTTTTGTTGTAATTACTGCTCTCTTCTCAGTACTGTACTTCGTGTGTAAATTCTTTATTTTACATTAATTTATAATTGTGTACATAACTTTTTTTCCATGTAAAGGAAAGCACTATAATAGACAGTCCGTAGATCTAATGAAAGAATGACGAAATGATGAAAGAGGTGAAGTTGATTTAAAAACTTCATGATTGGCACCTGCACATTTTTATTTAAATCTACTTATCTGTTTACTTATCAAATTTTTATTTGCCACTTATTTGGATGGTACATAATGCATGGTCAGCATGAATGTAGTATTTCATAGGGGTCCACACTGGGTCGCTGGTTGAGCAAACTTATGTATGAATTGACTCACTGACTGGAAAATAAAATGTGAAATGATGCTTTCATTAGACAATCGACCGTAGAAATATTCAACAAAATTATGAAAATACCTAATTTTGGAACGACACGTTGAATGAATAATTTAATTTCATTACGACATATTTGCTTCATAGAATATCTCGAGAAGAAGTTTGGATTCGTGAGACTTATCTTTGTCGGTCTCTTTGGCTTTCGGTCTCGCGGGCCGTTGGTCAACTGGTTCGTAATATTAACCCATTTTAACACAGAGTTCGTCAAACACTTCATTCAATATTTGGTGTTGATATTGTGAAACTGACGATTATAAGAACTTAGAATGCAGTGTATAACTGGCTTACTCTCTTACAAAAAAAGAGTGAATTTTAACTCTATTTTCACTTTCTTGGGAGTGATGTCCGTGATCACTTGTTTAGGAGTGAAAATCAATTGATTGTAGAGTGCTCTCTAAGAAGAAAAGAGTGAATGTTCACTCTATTTTCACTACATTTTCACTCTCCAGAGGAGTGACGTCCGTGATCACTCGATTTTTTTTGAGAGAGTAGGCCATTAAAAAAAATATACATGTTTAGCGTCCCCACCCGCTTCCTTTTTGGGGGCCGCCTCCTATTTTTTTTTTTGTTGTTGAAATTTTTAATTATTTTTTTCTTGTTGTTGAAATTTTGATCATTTAATTTTCTTTTTTTTAAAAGCAAAATGAAATAATAAACTTCAGTCCCCGTATCATACCAAAGGAATAAATCAATGCTTATATAGGTGAATAGTCGGATCGAATCTGACTTTTAAAAAAAATGTAAGATTTGTAAGATTTTTATTGACTCTATCGGCCCCCTCTCTGGGTATGAGAGCTACATTTGTACATAGTTTCAATATAACAATAGTATAACAATGATAAACCTGTGATAATATCAGCATTTAACTAAACAAATGATAATATAAACAAAGATAAACATGTGATAATATGAACAATAATAAACATGTGATAATATGAACAATAATAAACATGTGATAATATGATATGATAATAGACATGTGATATAAAATATGAACAAATAAACATATTTACAAATCAAGGCGAACTGGGCAATTCACCCTCCAACCGTTACACGTGTGCCTAACAACATCGCTTTATTGTGAGCTGACATTTACAGTATTACCATCTACCCCCTTTGACTCGATAGAAAAATGTGACATAATTATTCTGATAAATTTGGCTAATTTCTTTAGCTGGCAAGCATGAGCTGTATTAAAAGTCTTATACAAGTGCAATACACTTCTACCACACAAGTTATTTGGTATATGCATTTTTCTCTCATTTTGAAAGAATGGACATAAAAAGGTATATAATGAAATTCATCACCAGTATATGTTGATGTACAAAGTAGGCGTCTGACGTAACATCTGCAGGTACTTTTCATTAGCCAACTTATTCTTGTTGTAGGGTTAGTGCAGTAGAAGGAATATAATAATTAACATTTCATACACAAATTACGCAGGTTTTTCATCAACCTTCAACAATGTTACCGAGTCACTTTAAACATCCTATAGTTCGTGCAAATACGATTTGACCAGGAAACTGCACTCCATTCCTGAATAGACATGTCAAAAAGCCTGATTTTCATAGTATTCATAATCCAGGCAGCACTATATCCTTCTTCTTAACCTCGTCACACGTTCCCAAGTACTGCATAATCAAAAATGTCTGCAAGAAACTCAACTCATTGTGACTTGATATTAATTAAACCTTGTGCTTCACTTTGGAACTGCAACAGAAATTTAAAAAGAATCAATGAATACTTTGATTGCTTCCCTTTAATTAATCTAACCTTATCATTGTAACATTTCATTTTACCATGCCCAGTTTCAACCATGCGGTCAGGTGTGCACTTATTTACAAACAATATTGTTTTAAACATTTTCTTTGGAAAACTTCAAGTTAATCTATACACTGATAGACCCAGACCTAAGCACCTTATACTAGATTTGGCAAAACTAAGCGATCAATTGAATGACATTGTGTATGAACAGATAAATGCAAAATTTTGCCTTTACAAACATAATAGCTTTCTAGCTTGTGGGACATTTTTATTAATTGCTTTTTTAGAATTACTATTAAAATTAAAGGTCACTCCTAAATATACAAAGGCATAAACAACTTCAAGAACACCACCATCATAAACAAATTCTGGAATTCTTCTAACTTTTCCACTTGACATTTTCTTTCTTCTCGTAATATTGTCTTGTTTACCCAGGCCTGATCAGTATCAATAATGTCCCCCCCTGAGAGCCCTGCAATCAAATATATCATTTTCATTTTCAATCGAACACTTTCGTAAACTTTAGCTTCCTGATTTCCAGTATAGAATCGGGTAGAAAATCAAAGAAATATAGCAAGGGGGCATGTGTGGACTAGTGTGAGGGAACCCCCTCCAGCTCATGGCCTTATTCTTTGATCGGTCGAGGGGTGCTATATAATATAGTCAATGTAAAAATCTCTGACGAGTGATTATTATGCGCAAATATCCTTTTCAAATGTTCAATGGGGAGCGGGGGGGGGGGGCACGCACTGCAGGTCTACAGTAGTTACATGCATACACATTCAAATTCATATTTATTTTTTGTTGTAAAAATAAATCCTGAATTTGAATTTTGAACTTTGATGTCCAGTATTTGTTAGTGTTTAATAGGTTTATTAATGGCCCATACGCCTACACTTTTGCAACTGTCAACTGGCAGGCTAACCAATCTAGAGCTACACTGTAGCCCATAAATTTGGAATTTCGTTTTGTTACCAGGGGCGTCGCTAAACCTTTTTCAGTGGGGGGGGGGGGGTGTAGAGGCCAACGATTACCAACAAAACTAGCCATCAATTACCGACAAAATTAAATGTCCCAATATCTACAAATTAGCGCTATAAACCCGGGGCCGAAGGCTAAATTGTTTTTCCTATGGATTATCTATAGTACTTGCGTATGCGCAAATGGTCATTTTCCTCGACGACATAAATATACGAATTATTTCGTCAACTTAGTCAGCATCATAGCTATATATTTTAATGCAGGCGCGGAGCTAGGATCTTATTTTAGGGAGGGGCGCTGGTGAGTAAGCGAATCACTTTTGGGCGCTCAGTAGGGGAAGCGCGGAAGCTTAGACGTTCCCATAAATTATTAGGAAAAGAAGACGATTTATTGTACCGTTCTCGACTGTTAATCCTTGTCTGAATTCAGTTTCTCCCCCTCCCGCGCAAAGCGCGAAAACTTTGACGTTTCATTAAATTATGAGAAAAAGCAGACGATTCGGTGTACTGTTTTCGACTCTTAATTCTTATCTGAATTCAGTTCTCCCGCGCGAAGCGCGGAAGTTTTGACGTTTCATCAAATTATTAGACAAAGTAGACGATTCGTTGAACCGTTTTCGACCTTTAATTAGCCCTATTTATCTGAATTCAGTTTCTCCCTCTCGCGCGAAGCGCGGAAGCTTTGACGTTTCCATAAATTATTACAGGAAGCAGACGATTCGTTGTACCGTTTTCGACACTTAATAAGCCCTAAATGTCTGAATTCAGTTTGCCCCTTTAGCGCGAAGCGCGGAAGCTTTGACATTTCCTTAAATTAT